GACTATGTAGGATCTGCTGGTGTGCTGCAGGACCAGGCTGGAGGGATGTGGTCCACACTTCTGCACTGTCAGGGGAAGGGTCCTGTGATGCCGCAGACCTATTCTTCTTGCAACGTTTGTTCTTCTGCCTGTTATCTCCCTGAGCAGGGAAGCAGTGAGGCTGGGGTTGTACTTGTTCAGAGCACACATCAGCGTCGTCTGCCAGCTTTCAGAGGAAGGTTGACCACAAGAGGAATTCATGTCGTCACTGTTGTCTGCCTTCCCCCAGAACCCCAACACAAACACCCAATGCCGGTTGTTTTTAAGGTGTTCTAGAAACAGCTTGGTAAAAGGGTGTGTGTACAGACCTTGGAGGACATTTTGCTAACACAAGCTGTAAGTCACGTGGACTGTGCTAGATCCCTTTCTTGGTAGCAGAAAAGCAACTGTCACCTGCTCCTCAGTGCTAGGCCATGGGCTTGCTGACCCACCGACTGATGCTGTAGGGTTCCTTCCCCTTTTAACCAAGTCAAAGCTTTTCAATTTCTTTGTCCCAGATGAGCTTTTTTGACATGGGGAAGCTGAGGAAAAACACTCGGAACAGTCGTACAGTCAGGGGGACATCAGCTCAGTTGTAAAGTCCTTGTAAGAGAGCAGGCTGTTCTGTGGTACCAAAGCGATTATAATGAGAGCCCCAGGGTGACTGGAAAAGTAGCTGACATAAGGGCGTGGAGGATAGTCTAAATCCCATTAGAGACATCTGGCAACGCTGAACAGTGTCATGGGGGTGTTTTCCTCATGAGTAGAATCTGCACTGCTGCATGGGTGAGGGGACCGACAGAAAAGGATGTTTGTGGCTGCCTGCCCTTTGAGCATAGAGAGGGACTCTTTGGGATGAGCCCCAGGCAGGCCCATGCCCCTCAGGAGACACCACAATGCATTTGGGCTCTTTGGGCTGTCCTGTGAGCTGGGCAAGTCTGTGTGAATGCAGCTTGTTTCAGCGGAAGCCAGGGAAGAGTTATAGATCTGCTCGGGGAGAGCTACTCCTCATACTGAATTGACTTATGAGACAGGATGACCATGGTGATTCTTTACTCTCTCCCCTCTCCTTTCCCCTCCGTTATGCTTTTTTTTTCTTCTCCAAAGGCATGTTACTTAACTGTGTGATTGTGGAAAACTTGTTAGCAACAGCTCAATCACACTGAAATAACGAAAGCAGCATAGCTTGCCCCAGCCTGTGTGCTCCTGTTTATTTTTCCTCAAATCTTCACCTGCCTCACTACAGAGGTGGAAGAAGGGAGCTGTGATGGGGATGTAACAGTCTTTGGTTTCTGTAAAAGTCGTGTCCACTGGAGGAGGAATGAGGCCTGCCCTGTCAGTATCTGCTGTGTTAGCATGGGAGCGAGCCTGAGGAGAGTCTCAGGAGATGTGGGACCTGGGAGGTAGTGGGCGAGTGCTGGCTGCTGGGCTGCAGCTGCAGGCATGTGCTTTTCCTCTGTGTTCATGTGCCATCCAGCTTGTCGTGCCTCATGGCACAGCTTGAATCCTTGGTGTGTGCATCTCAGCAGCACTGCAGGGTCAGTGCTGTGGGTAGAATGTCTCCAAAGAAGAGGAAAGCCCTTATTGGCAGGTGCAATGGAGACAATGTTCTGGGGAGGGGGCTCTAGTATCATCCTCCTGGCTGGGGCTTTCTCACGTTCTGATGGGAGTGCAGGTTGCCATTGCAGGTTTAATCCTGGTCCTTTGGACCAGCTATCTCCTCTGACCACATCTCAGAGAACATCTTTAGAAGCTAGTATGTGGAATGTCTGTAAAATACTGTTTTGTCCCGGTGACTTGTCAGGACTGGCTGACCTTCAAACGCTTTGCTGCAGAGACAGCCAGTCCTCCCAAAAGTGTCTTCTGATGCAGTTCAGGCTCACAATGACTACGTTTGTCAGGAATTAGCTTAGTTTTCTACTGTCTGCCTGGAAAGCAAGGAACGGGCTTGCCCTCTGATGGCACATGCAGGAGAAGAAGTGTTTAAGAATCGAGGACAGACATGGCTAGTTTCCCTGATACCTCTCTACCCCATAGGGGACCCACTCCATGACCCTGGCAGGTCACAGAGACATGAGTTTGGCTGTGTGAGAACCTGCCTGTTCTCTTGAACCTGCATCTGCCTGGTTCCACGCCTGCTTACGCTGTCAAGAGTGGAGAGCCATCCCTTGCCCGAGGGATCCCAAACTGTCCTGTAGGAGCCCAGCCTTCCTCCAGAGTCAGACGTGTTCATTGCCTGGGGATGACCTCAAAGAGCACCTGAGCTGAACCCTTTATTCACTGTCCTTTTGATCTCTGAAAGCAGGTGGGAAAACTGGGGCTTTCTGACACTTCCTGACAGCAGAGAGGCTGAGTTGTAAGCTAGAGTGTTTCTGGGCTGTTCTCCAAACCAAGATCAGCCACGTTGCACAAGAAAACGCTCTGCTGCTGCAGTTTCTGCTTCTTAGAGCTTGTGATGGCAGCACGTAGAAGGTGACTGGTCTCTAGGGAATAGCAGGCCTTAATGAGTTTGGGTAGCCTGTGCAGGGAGCAGCCCCGCTTTGTCTCCGAACTGCACTGTCTGAGGATCAGTCGCCAGCTACATTGGAGGTAAAATTCTCCTGCACAAGCCTTTTCAGCAGGAATAGCTGCAGTTTGGATACCAGCAGGACTGTGGACTTGTTTATATTGCGTGTCTCTGCCACAAGAAGGCAAAAGCAGAAGACATCTCGAAGTGCACAGCCGTGTCATGGTTTTTCACAGCTCATTCTCTAGTGGCTTTCACTGCTGTAGAGCATAGTATCCCCGTAGCACTGCATGCAAGGCAGAGACACCTCTGCTCCTTTTCCGGGGGAACTGCTGAAGTTCAACATCATTAGGATTACGTTGAAGACCGAGAGATCTGATCAGGAAGTTAGCCGTCCATCAAAGGATATGAAAAGATGCTGAGGCCTAATTAGCTTCAATGAATGGAGCAGTCTTGCAGCTTCTGTGAGACTCAACAGCCCCATAAAGGACAATTGGGAAGAGGACAAGAGGTTATTTTAGGAACTTTGAGCTGCTCCTGAGGGACAACATACAGCTTTTTTTTTTTTTTTTAAAGATCTAACCTAGTGTTCAGGTTTTGATCATGCACAAAAAGAGAGATTTGATTTAAATGAAAAATAGACAGAACCAACACAAAGGGCTGTATTTATGCTTTGGATCGTGGCAGTGACTGACATTGAATCTTATTTGCCTGTATTTTCAACACCCCAGCTGCTGTGGAGGTTGCTGCTAGTATTTGGTCCATGGCATGCTAGGGTGGCCAGAGGCAAGGTTTCAGTGTCTTCCATGGTCAGACAGTTCAGCTCAGCATGGCAAGGCTTCATGTCGGGGCTGCACAGTATTAGCTGGAGCTTGGGTGCCTGAACTATGTACTTCCATGATTATCTCTGCCTGCAAGCGTTGTTGCAGAGTGACTAGGAAGCTGGCCTGAGGTTGGGAGGTCGAAGAAGCCTTAAAGAAGCTCTTTAAGCCTCCCTCTTGGGAGGTCGAAGAAGCTCTTTGTCAGTATATGTTATTGTACTGGGGTTTGGGAACTGGGGAAGGAAAGGGTGCACTATTTTGATTGTATTGTAGTCATCACTGAGAATGATGCTTCTAGAAGACCTGTGATTCAGGTCAGTGGCAGTAAGGCTGGACCACATCTAGAGATGTTTTATGACAGGTTATTTCAACTGTTTCTGTTTGTGCAGCTCTTTGCTTTCCTCTAAGTCTTGTTTTCCTCTAACAAAGTTTAAGGATCTTTTGGTATTACGATTCTGGTCCACTCAAGCAGTTCCATGATGTGTTTGAGGACTTGATCCAAAAATGTTTCAAAATGGCAGGTGCAAGTGGGAAAAAGACTCCGGTTAGAGCTCTTCTGGGGATTTGAAGCAAAGAGGAGGTGCCAGTCACACAAGCTTGGTTTGCACATGCAAAGGGATAACCCTGTCACACACAGCACGTGTAGGTGCCTGCGTGCCCAGGGGATACCCTGAGAAAGAAAACAAACCCTACTGCACTGAGTTTTGCACTGCTTGAAGAAATAACTGCCAAAGCATTCTCTTTTGAGACGCCTATCTCAAACGTTATGTTTTACAGGAAGAAGAGTGATTTTTTTTTTCTTCTTTTATATTCCATCAAGGGTTTCTGAGCGTTTATGTTCATTCTTCAAGATTTTTGTCCTTGTCATGTGGACTCAGACCTCCTCCAGAAATCCTTTTTTTTATGAAGGGCAGCACAAGTATGGAAAGGAAAGTCTGTCCTTTCTGCAAAGAAGAAAAATAGAAGGGGCAGGGATAGAGGACGGAGCGGCCACACTGTGACACACGTGTAACAGTGTCTAGGGCTGCCTACAGACAGAGAAGGTGAAATATTTTGACTGAAAGAGTGATGTTAAGTGTAGATGATGAATGATTAGGCCTTGGCTTGAAATGTCCGATTTATGTCTTCCTGGCTGCAGAACTGCTATGCTTGTTCTTGTGCTATGATTATTCCCCAGTCACCCATCTGGAAAGAGGCCAGATTTCCTATCCAATAATCTATTTCTTCCTTCAGAAAGTACTGTTTGATTGCAAGGATGCTCATTTCAGCTCAAAGATGCTGTTCAGAGGCAGGTGTAGGAGCAGTGTGGCTAGAATCACTTTTTGATTGTGCTGCATAAGAAAGAGCAGCCAAAAAAATGCTCATGAAAGAAATGAAGGGTTGAATTTTATGACCCTCTTTTCTGTCCATTGCTATGTGGTTGGGTAGTGAAAGGGGCCAAAACAGCTTCCGGGGAAGGAAAAGAGAAATCAACAAATGTTGGTCCCATCCTTTCATCATTGTTAGGAAGAATGTAGTGAGTGGAGAATGTGAAGAGGAATAGAGATCCAGTTTGTGTTCAGACAAAATGTCTCATGCCTCATTTCTGTCAGCTTCCAAGCATCTCTTTTATACCTTGTTATTCTGATATTCACTTACTAATGTTTCTCTTGCAGCAGAGCTTCTGCCATGGATCAGCAGCTGCTGTCATCTCAGCAGAACAAAGAATGTCCCTGACGTGCTGAGTTTACTGTCTGAGCAGAAGATCAAGAGCTGAGGACTTACAAATCTTGCAGATTGAGTGGAAGACAGTGTGAAAGGTGATTGTTTCTTTGTCAATATTTGACATACAAAGTGTTGATATTATTTATAACTTTTTGTAGATGCAAACATTTTCTGATTCATTTTGCATTTGGTCCACCTGCAGCCCACAGTTCTTTACAGCATTTGAACAAGTAATAAGAATGGTGGCTACAGGCTTTCTGTAACTTGGAAGGTATGATATTAAAATTACTAATGAGCCGACTTTGTAGAGCAGAGGTAGACCTGCAGATTATGTTAGGGGTCTGGAAGCTGACCTGACCTTCACATCTTCAAAAGAAACAGCATTTTTTTTTAACATTTTTAGTTGCAATTAAAGTCATAATGAATTAAATAAATCTGAGCCAGAGGATTTCAGTGCCACAGTTCTTCATTTCAGAAGGACTAAAACAATCACAGAATGCTTTGGATTGAAAGGGACCTTAAACATCATCTAGTTCCAGTCCCCTTGCTGTGAGCAAGTACACCTTCCACTTGACACCTTCCATTAGACCAGTTTGTTCAAAGTCCCATCCAACCTGGCCTTAAACACTTCCAGGGATAGGGCATCCATGACTTCTCTGGGCAACCTGTTCAAATATGTCACCACCCTTGTATTAAAGAATTTATTCCTAATATCTAATCTAAATCTACATTCTTTGAGTTTAAAACCATTGCCCATTGTCACTACACTACCAGCTAAAGAGTCCCTCCCTGTCTTTACCCCTTTAGGTACTGGAAGGCTTGTGTAAGTTTTCTCCAGAGCCTTCTATTCTCTAGGCTGAGCAACCCGAGCTCTCTCAGCCGGTCTTTGTAGGAGAGGTGTTCCAGCCATCTGAAGATTAGAGGATGAGAGCAGCCCTTTGGACGATCAGAGATAATTCTTGTGGCCCTCCTATGGACCTGCTCTAACAAGTTTCTGTCCTTCTTGTGCTGGGGGCACCAAAGCTGGACATAGCTCCAGGTGGGGTCTCCTGAGAGAAGAGCAGAAGGGGAGAATCACCTTCTTCACCCTGCTGGCCATGCTGCTTTTAATGCAGCCCAGGATGTAGTTGGCTTCATGGGTTGCAAGATCCACTTGTAACCAAGTCTGTATTCATGTTTGGGATTGTCCCAACCCAGGCACAGGACCTTGCACTTGACCTTGGTGAACCTCACGTTTGCACGGGCCCACCTCTTAAGCTTGCCAAGGTCCCTCTGGATGCTATCCCTTTGTACAGCATGTCAACTGCATTACACAACTTGATGTCATCTCCAAAAATGTTGAGAATCACAGAATCACAGAATTTCTAGGTTGGAAGAGACCTCAAGATTGAGTCCAACCTCTGACCTAACACTAACAGTCCCCACTAAACCATATCCCTAAGCTCTACATCTAAGCGTCTTTTAAAGACTTCCAGGGATGGTGACTCCACCACTTCCCTGGGCAGCCTGTTCCAGTGTCTAACAACCCTTTCGGTAAAGAAGTTCTTCCTAAGATCCAACCTAAAACTCCCCTGGCGCATCAGCATTATGTCATTCTCCAAGTACCTGTCTTTGGATTTTGCAGCTTGGGTGATGTAGCTTGCTGGTGAAGATCGAGACAAAGAAGTTGAGTTCTCCATGTTGATTGTAGCCAGGTCTCCTGTACCACTCATTGTGGGGTGCACAGTTTTTTATCTATCTTTGTTGTCCTGTGTACTTGAAGAAACCTTTGGATTATTTTTCACATCTTTGTCCAAGTTCAGCTCCATCTGTGCCTTGTGGTTCATGGTACACTTCCAGTGTTCTCAGGCCATCTCTCTATAATCTTTCCAGCATGTGTATCTCCTGCCTCTGCACTTTGTTTTTGCTTTGAGTTTGGCTAAGAGGTTTTGACTTAGCTAAACTGGTCTCCTGTCTTCCCTGCCTGACTTCTTGCATGTCAGGATTGAGAGCTCTTGTGCCCGAAGAAAAATGTCTTTAAATATCTCCCAGCTCTCATTCTCCCTTTCATCTCTTAGGGCAGTTTCCCGAGAGATCCCATGAACTAGTCCCTTAAACAGCCTAAAGTTTGTCTTTCTGAGGTTTAGGGTGTTAACTCTACTTTTTGCCTATCCTGTATCCCTCAAGATTGAGAATTCTGCCAGGGCATGTTCACTACAGGCCAGGCTACCTGCACTCTTGAGCTGTCCCGTAAATTCTTCCACATTGGTGAATAACAGGTCTGGCAACATCTCTCTTCTTGTTGGTCTTCCCATCATCTGTACTAAGAAGTTATTGTCAACATACTACAGTAGTCTCCTTGACTGCTTACAGTGTGGTGTGCCACTTTTCCAGCAGATATCAGGTTGGTTGAAGTCCCCTAGCAGGGTCAGGGCCTGTGAGCATGATATTTACTGTTGCTGAAGAAAGAACTCCTCTCAGCATCCTCTCCTTGATTGAGTGGCCTGTAGTAGACATAAACCACAAATTTTCCTTTGTTGGCTTAGTCTCTGTTTTTCATCCATAAGCTCTCAATCTGTGCGTTGCTGTTCTCTGTGCAGTCAGTTCCATTTTTTGCACAGCGCATTTCCCATACCTTTCCTTCCTTGCCTATCCCTTCTGAATGGTTTATAGCCATTGCTTGCTGCACTGCAGTCATTTGATTCATGCCATCAAGTTTCCGTGACAGCAATCAAATTGCAGTTTTCTAGCTGGGCAGTGGCTATCAGCTCCTCTTGTTTGTTACTACATACTGTGTGCATTTGTGTATAACGGCACTTCATTTGGGTCTTTGACTGCCTGACCTTTTTCACAGAACCTATTTTGGAGGGTTGGGTGTCATTCCTTACTACTCTGGTAGATACACTTTTTCACCACGTTGCTTGTGTCATGCCCCATCCCATAGGTTTCACAGTAGGAGGTATAAGCACAAGGAACAGGTTGGCTGAGTGACCATTTTCATATTGCTTAACTAGAACTTCTAATTAGAAGATCCAGAATGAGCCATTCACTTCACTGATTATTTCTGGAACCACGTATGTTCAGAGTTCTAGCATTAGTAGACATCAGTACTCTAGATCAGTTTTACCAGAGACAGGTTTAAGTTTATGAACTTCATTTAGAGAAATTCATTTGAGATCATTTATGAACTCAATTTAAGTTTGTGAGCTATGTGCAGAAGCTTGCACTGGCCACTCAGTTTTCTGCTTCCTTACTGCTCTACGTTTAATTTCTGTGGTTATATTAATCCCAGGAAACCCCTCACAATGAGGGGATATACTAGTTATCTGCCTTCCGAAGGCAGTCAAGGGTCGGTTCTTGAAGGACAAGAAAATCATCAGCAGGAGTGAGCATGGATACACATTGGGGAGGTCATGCTTCATTAATATGATAAGCTTCTATGATGAAATGACCAACCTGATGGATGAGGGGAAAGCAGTGGGCATTATCTACCTGGACTTTTTAAGGCTTTTGACACTGCTCCCCATGAGAACCTCGTAGAGAAGCTGCTGATATACAGGTAAGATGGGCAGACAGTGAGGTGAAACAAAAACTGGCTGAATGGCTGGGCCCAGAGTTGGAAGTTCACGTTGGAAGCCAGTAACTAGCACTGTATACTAGGGGTCAATACTGGGTCCAGTCCTGTTTTAGTGTTGTCATTAATGATCTGGATGATGGGGCAGAGTGTACCCTCAGCAAGTTTGCAGATGACAAAACCAGGAGGAGTTGCTGATAGGCTAGAGGGTCATGCTGCCATTCAGAGGGACCTTTACAGGCTGGGTTAGGAGCCTCCCAGAGTTCAATAAGGGGAAGTGCCAAGTTCTGCCCCTGGAGAAAACCAGCTCCGGGCACCAGGATGTGCTGGGGCCACCCAGCTGGAAAGCAACCTGGCAGAAAATGCTTAGGGGGCCTGGTGGACACCAAGTTGAACATGAGCCAGCAGTGAGCCTTCACTGTAAAGAAGGCCACCTGTACTCTTGGCTACATTAGAGAAAGAAAGTATTGCCAAGCAGGTCAAGGAAGGTGATCGTTTTCCCCTCTCTCCAGCACTTGAGAGGCCACACCTAGTGCACTGTGTCCAGTTCTGTGTTCCCCAGGGCATTCATGGAGCTGCTGGAGAATATCCAGCAAAGGGTCATGAAAACAATAAAGGAAATGGAGCATCTGTCTTATGAGGAAAGGCTGAGAGAGCTGAAACTGTTCAGGCTGGAGAACAGAGTGCCAGAGAGGGAATCTCAATATGTATAAATACCTGAATGGAGGGTGCAAAGATGGAGCCAGAATCTTTTTCAGTGCTGCCCAGTGCCAGGACAAGAGGCAGTGGGCACCATCTGAAACACAGGAGGTTCCCAGTGAACATCAGGAAGCACTTTTCAACTGAGCAGTAGTAGCACTGGATGCCCAGAGGGGTTTAGAGTCTCCCTTTTTGGAGATATTTAAAACCATCCGGATGTGGTCCTGGGCAGGACCACATTAATTGGAGATCCCAGGCATTTCCCATAGTCATAAGAAAGCTCAGTTTTCCCTTTTCTGAGAGAACTAATTGCAGGATCCAGATACCTTGAGAAAGGACTGCAGAGACTACTAGGTTGTCCTCTGCTATGAGGATTTAATGCAGTATAACCATCACTCTGGACAAAACAAAAGTGCAGGCACGGGAAACAGGAGTTGTGAGTTGGTGGTGTTAAATCTTCTAGGCACTGTTCAGACTTTTCAATCTTTTATGATTTTTTTCCTGTGATTTCTGTCACTTTCAGATAAATGGAAGATTTGGAGACTAACTTAATCCAGACACGTAAAGCATGTAGAATAGAGCAAATGGTAGCGAAATGGCTTCATCGCTCCCGGGATGGTGCGTCCAGGTAAACATTGCATTTGTTGATCAGCTTTGATCAGAGACAGCACAAGCTTGTTTCCAGTGAACGTGGAGAGTCATAGGTCACAGTTCTCGCTCATTGTTACAGTTCCTTCAAAATATGCATACTGCATTCCATAGAAATAAGCAGTGTTTTCAAGCATCTCCCTCATTTTCAAGTGGGCCAAATGTTCCTTCTTTCACCCATTCCTATTTTGTGAACCATACCTACAGAAACACAATACTGTTCAATGTGAAATGTGCTTGAAGATGGGCTTGTAACTCTTGTGTCTTGGCATTGGCCCAGGTCTTAAGGACAAGGCAGTGTTGCATTTGCAAGAGATCGTGGCCTGTATCTGCTTTGCTTTTCTAAGGTCTGTGAATCAAAATTAAACTGGATGGAATCCTGGCAGGAGCTGAGAGCTGCAAATTCTCTTACCACATTGCTGGGTGAAGGTGTTGCTTGGACCCATGGAGGTCAGGGCTTGCTGTGGGGCTCACCTGGATTTCTCCTTCCATGCAACCACTGGACTGAGGTGGCTGAAAGAGTTGTGGCTGCAACTGCCTGGTACTGCTGGCCTGTTATCTTCACATTTCCCTGGAGCCCAGGGGAGCACTGCTGGCCTGCCCACCATGGAGACTCCCATGGGTATCCGAAAGAGTTCTGACCTCTATGTATATTTGTGCAGCCCATTGAAATCGGGGGGTTGTGGAACCTAAGCCCCTTTGATAACATTTTTTCTGACTATATCTTAATTAATCACCAATTTCTTGTCTCACAGTGGCAGACTGCCTGTGACAAATGCCACCAGGGATGGCAGAGGCCAGCCTGCCAGCCATGTCAGGCTCACTGTCACAGTGTACAAAGACTTGGTCCTCCATCACTATGGCTTTGAGATTTGCCCAAACCTTCCTCTTACAATTGCATCTGTCACTGCAGGTAAGCACCATTTTCTTCTCCCTACAAGCATGTGTGTGAGAAGCCTGAGCTGTCCCAGATAGCCTTTGTGATAAACTTCTGCCAGATGCCTATGGTTAGCACGTGAACCTTGATTTCTGAAGAGAGAAAGCCTGTGTGCCTGTGACATGCAGAATGTTTGAACATCTGTCTGATTTCTCACAGCACAGAGGAAATCTAAAACAGTGCCAGCTTCACCATGAATTGTTTGGTTGCACTCAGACACAGCTGATCTTGAGAGACACAAAAAGCTGTTTGAAAGAAAAGTTCTTTTTGGAGTTGAATTTGAAATGCCAAGGAAGAATTTTATCTAATCTTACAGTTCTTACTCTGCAGTGAGATCCTGTTGCCGAAAATGCTGTCTGGGCTTAATGCCCTGTAATAGAGAGAGGATCACTGCTAGATACAGGCAATCTAGCTGGAGTTCTGCTTACGTCAAGCAAATCAACTCTTCCCCATAAGAAGGGACATAACTCTGCTTCTAAAGTGTTTTTTGTTGTTTGTTTTTTTGTTTGTTTTTCCTAATAGATACACAAAAATCTTGCTTTGTACCCCATTGGTAACAGTCTGACAGCCAGAGGAAAAACTGCCCAAGCTGGACAGGTAGATGGTGTGGTAAAGGTAGCTGAAGAGTGGTCTGGGCTCTGACTCCAGCAGGCTATGTAGGCTGTGACATCTCCCCATGTGAAACCTGTGACTAAATTAGCTGAGTATTCAGGGGTAAAAAGTGTAGATGGAGTGTTTTCTGTTAGGCTCTTCTTTTTTCCTAATTTGAAAGCATCAGTGTTTTATTAAAACAGACACAGAGAAACTTGTCCTTTTAAGTCTTGGCCATGGCTACGAGTCCTGTGTTTAATTCCAACCCTTTGTCTTTATGTTCTGCGTTTTTCTGTGTGCCAGGGTGCTGGGTGCTAGTGTGCTATGTGGGCAAACCTGTCTGGTGGAGAAATAAAATACCTTGACCAGTAGGCTTGTGGTAATGGAGCCAGGGGCTGCCTGCACAATTCTGTTCTTCAGACCAGAAGTCTACCTGCTCTGTAGCCTCTTGGGTCCTGTGGCTGTTAGTCTTTAGAAAACCTCTTTGTGGGTCTTCACAGCAACCAGTGTGGTTGAAAAGACCTCCATGCTCTCCTGGGTGGCCAAGGGCCATCATTATGCCAGGAGCATAGCCTCTCTCTCCCAGGGAGAGGTGTAGCAGGCAGTCTGGTGATCCCTCTCAGTCATCCTGTGACCTCCCAAGATCCTATGAACATCCCCACTATGCCCAAGGCACACAGTGCCTGTGAGTGCTATATAATGTGCTGTGACAATGGACAAGGCATGCACAAGAGGGCTGCTAAGAGGTTTGGTGGCCAGAGAGCAGCCCAGGCTAGGTGGTGTGAATACAGGCTGAGTGTACCAGCTCACACCAGCGCCCCAAGCCTCTTGGCCCCTTTTTATTTTGCCACACAGAGGGAGTTGCTGAGGCAAGTGGGTGGTGGGTGGGAAGAGGAGAGCTCAGTGTGCATCCCCTGGGAAGGAGGTCTGCCAGTCCATGACTAACAGTGTGCCAATTGTCCACAGGGAGCACTGCTGATGGGAAGCTGCTGCCAGGTGACCAGCTCCTCCGGATAAACTCCACCATGGTAGAGGACATGTCCATTGAACGGGTGGCTGACATGATCAGGTATGGTCCTGTTTACCCTGTCCAGACAAGGGGACGGGGGCAAAGAGTGGAAGTGTGGGAACCCACTTTCACCAGGGTTTACAATGGTACGAGCAGCTGCTGACCCTGGCTGATTGCATCTGTCTCTGTTACAGGGAGGCTGGTGACGAGCTCTTCCTAACCGTCCTGCGCAGCACGTCGGTAAATGGCTTCTCGAGCACTCTCAGCAGCTGTGCTTCCCATCCTGGGCAGCCCTGGGAAGGTGGGGCAGATGGGCTGGCTTGCAGGATGCATGGGCTTGGCCGAAGCTGTGAGGGAGCTGCAAGGAACTACTGCCTTTGTGCACATGTGTGCCTTTTGAAGTGCTTCTAGGGATAATCAGTGGTAATGCCTCACAGCTCCCCTGGTCAGGGGGCAAGAGCCCCCACAGAATCTGCCCCATGTGGGGGGCTCAGTCAGTGATTTGGAGCCAGAGGCATCCTGAGAAGGTCTCAGGAGGTGACTGGCCATGGTTCTGCATCAGCCCCCTGTGAGCCAGGAGGGCATGGCCATGGGGAGGCCTCCCCCAAGGCCACAGGCATCTCACCCAGCATGCCATGTCTCATGCCAGCCCGCCAGGAGCAGCATGAATGCTCCCCACGTGCCACAGCTGTCTTGGCCCCAGAGGGGTCAGGAAGCCTTCTACACTCCAGGACTTGTAAGGCAAATGCTGAGGCTGTGGAATTCCCCCACCACCACCCTGCCCTCACTCCTTTAAAGCTCTTGAGTTTTTCTCAAGCCTCGGGTGCTTTCTAGCACTCCTTCTGACTGTAGGAAAACGTTTATCCCTTTTTCTCTGGGCTCTGCCTGCCTATTCAGTACTGAATCACCTGAGGATTCAGTACTAATCACCTGAGGATTTCCCCTTGATAGTTCAGCAGGCCCTGTGACTGGGCTGAGCCTATAAATTCGTCCTATGGCCTATAAATTCGTCCCCTGCTCTTTACTCTTCCATCTCTCTCCTGAGCAAGCAAGCATGCTTGTGCCGGCTGGGTTGTGCTTCCCTGATCTATCTCTAGGACGGTCTGGGACCTGGGTGTTGATCCTACTTTGGGAAGAGAAGCCAAGTTTTAGTACAAACTTTAGTGCTGGTTGCCCATTCCTACAGTGTAAAAATCACCAGCAGGGGTGTACTGCCAGCATAATGTGTGTGCCAACATAGATTTCAAAGTGGGTAAAAGCTGAGCTGCAAAGCAAGGACAAAATTGGGTTTGTGTGCTTTTTGGCTTCTTTTGATGTATGACAGTGGCCTGTAGGAGATAATTTTTTTTTCCCTCTAGCAAAGCATTTTGGGAAGTTATTTTCGTTTGATTGTTTGGACTTTTAAATTTAGCTCTGTTCTTTGAAAAAAGAAAAATGTTTGGTTTCCTTCAGAATTGTTGCTGGAGCTCTCAGGTTTAAGGTTAATGAGGTTTCTTGACAGTTCAGTGAAAATGCACTAAAGACAAAGCCTCCTAAATACCTTTTTCCTGCACAAAGTCCCCTAGGTGTTGGCATTGAACAGATGTGCACAAAGCCAAAGTGTTAGGCAAATCCCATGAATGGTGGCTTCCTGTCTTTTGTTAATTTGATTTCCCATGTCCAGTACATCAGTAAGTCTTGCCAATGCTTGGTCTAGCTTTGGAGATAAAAGAAAAATGAGAGATGTACAGGACTTGAATGTCAGCCAGCAAGGGGAAATGCAACTGCTTTTCAGAGAAAAAGAGATTAGAAAAACCCTTTATGAGATTTGGAAAAACCCTTTACAGGCCTTTATGCATTGCTTTAGAAGCAAATGGGACACAAATCCATTTTTGTCGTTTCCTTTGCAGGTCACTTTAAGGACACCTCCAAGTACAGCCACAGCTTATCTCTTGGGTTTGGGGTTGGCTCTTGCCCCACTCTGAAGGCAGCTGTGCTTAGAGCTGAGAGGTAACAACTCCCACTGATGGCTATCAGACCCTCTGACGTGGCTGCTCTGGCCATGCCAGACAGGATGTTCTAGGCTTTCCTGGGAGTAGCTGATGGGCATGATGCTCTCTGTGCCCTGGCAGTCTCTAGAAGGACTTGCTGGCAGGGCACAGAGACTCCTGCCCACCTCTCTTCCTCTGTCCTTGCCAAATGCACTTGGAATAAGATGATTCTGTGGCAGGCTGGGAGGCATTTGTGCCTCTGCTGAGACTGTGATAAGTGCTCCACCTGGAAGCTGTTTGGGTGGATACTAAGAGATGCTTTCTCTGATCGCCTGTTGGCATCTCTGTAGGGAATATCATGGTTTACAAGAGGAGGGACCTATTGGTGCAAAAACCTAGTGGTTCTGGTTCCTAAGCTCGTGTTATCTCTTGTGAAAGTGTCATGGTGAAATTGTGGTTATGTGACAGCAGCACGATGACATCAAGTTGTCTTTTTAGCCTTGCAGTTTTCTTAAAACACTTGCAATAGGTCAGTATGCTCTAGAAATCTCATCAGTGCTACATACACTGCTGTGTTCATGTGATACGTTGATAGAAGAGTTTTTGTCTATGACTTCAGGCACTCTGTGTGTGGCAGTTTATGGTATGCTGTGTTTATATATATATATATATATATATACATATACACATACCCATCACAAACCAGCTGTTGGGTTAACAGGTTTTCTGCAGGATCCTGGTTTCATTGCAGGAGCTGGGCAGGTGCTTAAACACAGTAACTGTACAAATATGTAGTGAAATTGGTTGTGCACAGTATGTGTTGCATGTTTGTCCACTTGTTATTGGGCAGCTGGGTTTGGGCTCAGTGACTGCCCAGATAGGTCTGAAATCCTGCAGCATGCCTGGATCGTGCAGGAAGATGAGAGGCTCTTAACGTCTCCCGCTTCTGTAGGTGCGAGGTGGTGTGGTGGAAGCAGCATTGGCTGTGATTGCACCCATGACTATACTGTGGGCTGCTCCTTCTGTGCATAGGTACAACAGGCCGAGCTGCCAACTGAGTGCTGTTATCTTTTCAGGGTGGGCCTAAGTCATCGTTCCTCACTGCAGAGAAGAGGGCAAGGCTGAAAACAAACCCTGTGAAAGTACGTTTTGCAGAGGAAGTGCTGGTGAATGGACACACACAGGTCAGTGGGGTGTGGCTGCATGTGGGCACTGTGAGCACTGTGTGCTGAGAAGAAATGGGTCCCATGCTGGGCTGGGTCAACATGGCCAGGACCCACAGAGTGGCTGTACCTTCACTGTGCTTGTCTGACTTGGATTTTTATCCAGGCATTTGGTCCCATCTTGTTTCCTGTGCTCCTCGGTGAAGTGCTGGCATCTCCAGAAGGCTTTATCTTTCATTTTCTTATTAGGGCTAATGAAAAATATCTGCATGTACTACTTCTATCCTTTTGCCACTTAAAGTTTAAGTAAACTTTATGCAAGCATTAGACAGCTGTGACACTGCTACCAAGGGATGTACTAGTCATCTCTTGAATTGCCATTCTCTCCGTAGTAAACCTAGACTGAAGTTTGGGCATGAAAAATCCTAACCCTAAAGATAAGAGGTGAATCCTGCTGTCAGTGCTGGTTCTTTTTCTGCCAAAGTACCTGGGTTATCTCCTCCTGGCCCTGGCCAAATGTATCATGGCCCTGAAAAACTGCAGAGACTCCTGTTTCAGTAAATACACCACTCTTGTGATCTTAATGGAGCATTAATGCTGATGACTAAATTATCTCTATGGCAATTGGAAGGAACCCAGAAGCTGCCTTTTGCAGTTGAAATCTGAAACCACAGTTTAGAAACATAAATTGTTGATGAGCCTCAGCGCTACCCAGCCTCCATTTTATGTTACGAGCTCAGTACATATTTCCATACAGCTGAATGATATGCAAGAGTCAGGTCCCTCAGGATCATGAAGTCAGCATCAGTCAATGTATTACTAGAACCTGTGGGCCTAGCTGTAATCTGGAGTAAATCAAGCTTGTACCAGACAAAACATGAGGGGTACAGGCTTAAGCAATAGGTGAAGCTTTCAGAATGAATTTGTAGTAGTCTATCAGAGCCTGCATGAAAGGAGAGAAATCCCATCTGGATATTCTGGTCAGCTAATTGGATCTGACCAGGGAAGTGATGATACTTAAATTGTAGATGAGAATTTATATACAGATTTCAAGTTCTGGCTGTACAAGGTGATATTCATATGACAGTATGTGGAGCTACTAGAAAAATATTGGATTAGGTGTAAACCAGCACAACTTTTCTGAAATTGGTGGAGGAAGCAAAGGCTGTCAAAAATGTGATGTGTTCATGTTACTTAGCATGAAAGAGTTAGAGCTTGTGCTCAGGAGCAGTGGCAACGTTTGCTCATTTTTCTCAGTGGTGACTGTAAGTTGTTTGAACCCAACAAAACAGGCAGTGGAGAAACAAGGAACAAAATTCAGAAGTGTCTTTATATTCTTACTTGTGGTACTTACATGGCATATGGACTCACTATCAAAAGCAATTAAGGTTGTGAGATTTATAAGGTGTTGCACAGCAAATGAAACATAAGAGAGGTCATCTTCAAAATGCCATTTTCAACCTTGGGAATGTCATGAGAAGTAGAATGAACTGCTTTAAAATTGGAGGAATATGCTGCTTCGAAAACATAAAGATGTGCTGAATGTCCAAGGATGGAGGAGTAAGCTTTCTCAGTACAGAAGAAGAACAAGAACAAGGCTAAAAACAAGAAGGAAGGTGCAAATAACCTCTACTAAAGGAAGAACTCTAGACAGCCCCAGAAAGAATATAATATGTTCCCAGTTCTTTCACAGAGCATTCAAGGGAGGTGCTATTTTGGTAGCATGGATGATTTAAGTACGTCTCGAGCTGAAGGCATGGCTGCTGCCAGTGGGAGGAAAGTGTCAGAGTGGGAGGGTAGTGCCCAGTAACAGGAAGATGTCTTTTCTGACAGCCATTTCTCCTTCTCTGATAAGGCGGGAGGATAGCTCTCAGCTTTTCTGTACCTGTCAGGTCTTCCTATGCTATGTGGGAACCAGACAGTGGGCATATCTGGGCCATGTGCAGCTGTTGAACTAGCTGGAGATACCTGGTAAAGGTATTTGTTAGACTCTCCTTCCCTCGCTCTGTCCTGGGAACATACTTACAGAATAAGTGGTGCCATAAAGACAGTTGTAAAAGTAGAGAAAGATTTTCATTTGATAAATGTCCCTTCCCACCTCTTGCCCACCCCCAGCAGGGTGGCTCTGTGGGGTTTGGAGGGACTGCAGCCAGCACTGCTCAGCAATAGAAAAAACACTAGTGTGATACCAACGCTCTTCTAACTGCATGTGCAGAGCACAGCACTTTGTGGTTTGCTGCAGGAAAGGTAGCTCCATCCCAGCCAGACCCAGCACACCTACATAAACAGAAGCATGGCATCAAGGGAGGTGATTCTGACCCTCTTCAATGGTCTCATGAGACCCTGCCTGGAGTGCTGTGTTCAGCCCAGGAAGCAAGACACAGACCTGCTAACGTAGGTCCAGTGGAGGGTCACAAAAATGATCAGAGGGCTGGAACACCTCTCGTGTGAAGAAAAGCTGAGAGGGTTGTTCAGTGTGGAGAAGGATCTTAGGAGACCTTATTGCAGCCTTTCAATATTTTCAATGGGGGTTTATAAGAAAGATAAAGAGAGGCTTTTTACCAAGGCCTGTAGTAATAAGACAAGGGGGTAACAGTTTTAAACTAAAAGAGGGTTGATTTGGATTAGATGTAAGGAAAAAATTTTCTGCTGTGAGGGCGGTGAGGCACTGAAACAGGTTACCCAGAGAAGTTGTGGAAGCCCCGTCCCTGGAGATGTTCAGGGCTGGATTGGATGGGGCTTTGAGCAACCTGATCTAGCAGAAGGTGCCCCTCCCTGTGGCAGATGGATTGGATCTAGGTGGTCTTTAAAGGTCTCTTTCAACCCAGACCATTCTATGGTTTATACTAGGATGTATTGTGTCAGGCAGAGCAGCCTGGTGCCCAGAGGCATAATGTCTAATGATTAATTAGTGGTTTTTTTTGTTGTTGTTGTTCTGCAGGGGAATTCTCTTCTTTGTATGCCAAACGTTCTCAAGGTATACTTGGAAAATGGGCAGACAAAAGCTTTCAGGTTTGAGACAAGCACTACTGTAAAGGTAACGTGGTTATCTGTCTTCATTCCCACCACCTCTATTCAGTCCAGTTGCAACAGTGCATGTAGTGGAACTTGCAACCTCTTAGTTGCATTGGCCAGCTGGTGCCAATTGGATTGTCAACTGCTGCTGATCAAGCTGGATTTTCCTTGTCCTTCCTGAAGGGGAAGCATTACTTTGGTTCTTTTTCTTCTCAGCAACTGGTTTTCACAGAACTTACAGGAGCTTGGCTAGGAGACCACTACAACTTTGTTAAGTGTGGTTGAAGTTGTGCAAGAAGACAGCTTACTTGGAGGACTGACAGATCACCAGCTGTCCACACAAACTTTGCTTTCCTAGGAAGCCACATGACCAAATGCAGAGGAGAAGGTTGTTTAATACAGCACTGATGATGTACATACCTGAGAAGGAGAAAAAGTTTCCTGGTCTGGGACGTGGAGAGTGGAGTCCAGGTGTGGGTATTGTGTGAGCTCAGCAAGTGCACTTTTGCCTTGTTATTTGAAGCCCATGTCCATGTTGCAGCCTCATTTCTGCATTGGTGAAAACATCTTCCCTGCAGGGACATGAAAACCAATGAACCCCTTGAGATGAAAAGCAGCACCACCTCCCTAGGATTAGTTGTGCTTGGAAGCATCACAGATGAGTTAACCATTATTCTCTTCAAAGTACAAGGCACCAGATTCTAAAGCCATTAATACAACACTTTCCATAATTGTCTTATTTAGATTGAGGCCTAAAAACTGATTTTTTTCTGGCCTGATCTGCAGTGTTGCTCACTGTTTCCATTGGAGTTAATGAACTTGGCTCGTTCACATTGATAGCAGGCCGTAATTTCTTTTAAGTGTTAAGTATTATCCTGCAGCAGTGCAGTCACTGTGGAAAGATATGTGATGACCAGACTAGAGATAATTGGGCTGGAAGAATATTCAGGGCAAAGCAAGGAGAATTTATTTGTAATGCAATGAAAATTTTCTTGAAGAAGAATTTTGTCTGCTTCATCCCAACTTCACAAAACTGTTGTGGTCTCTCATGCAGTGAAGTCCCTGCAAACCTTGTGAGAATCATTTGCTGAGCAAATAAAAAGAAAACAGCGTAATCAAACAAGGAGGCAGTGAGGATGTGGGGAATGAGTTGAAAAAAGATTTGAATGTACACCTGCAAGGGATTTACTTCTAAAAGATGGATTAGCTCCTCATGTTTGACTTGAGTTTCTCACCTCTAACCTGGAACAACCTTTTCTGTACCGGAGTTGAGTGAAACCCTCACCAGCATCATCACAGTAACACTCAAATGTGTAAAATACTTTCTGAAATAATTGTTTTCTAAAGTTCCTGTGTTGTGTTAGAGATCCTTGCATAAAACTGATAGAAGTCAAATATTTATGCTCACCCCATGAGAACTGAATGCACTGGAGGAGTTCTGTTTCAGTTTGTACTTAGTCAAGCCTTACATAATGTTTTCTGTTTGCCAAAAACCCATTTATTTCCATGACGCTTAGTATTCCAACAGAACTCTTCATATAACTGAAATATTACATCAAATTTGGTAAGATTTTCACTAATGATTATGGTTTCAAATTCTTGGGGTTTGGTGGAAAAAAATGTTTTTCACCAGTTGTTTTCACTTTCTTCAAAAAGTGTTGTAGAGTTCTAGAAAGCTAGAATGGTTAACAGCAAACAATTGAATTGAAGGTGACAAAGTGTTCAAAACCACCAAACTTAAAAACCGTAATGCAAAAACTTTGGACATGAAGCAGCCCAGGCAATGCAATTCTAGGAAATTAATTTGATGCCTACTACATCTTGAAGATTTGCATCTTATTGCGCTCTTAGCAAGCTGCAGTTTCCCTCCCTTGACCTCCTGACCTACTAAAAATAATGTGTTTTCCTGCCTTCATCTGTTCTTCCCATGCTTCCCCTGCAGTTCCTTTGGCTCCCTTCATTGCCCACGGGATAGCATCAGTGGACATGGGTGGCTCTGAACACTGTCCTGCCTGGCCGATGTACGCTTTTGTTGCTTGGCTGTCCTGCTGGGATAGCACAGCAGCTAACCCCCAAGCTTGCGTGTGGCATCACAGAGAGTCTGTCATCATCTGTACCTCCACTTCTGATGAACTTACAGGCTTTCTCTAACCTTGAGACCTCTGTGGTCTAGATCATTGTGTTCAGAAGTTGTCAGTGAAGAAAGGAAGGCACTGGTTTATTGTGAAACACCACTAAAAAGTCTGCTGCTGTGTTGCTGCAGCAAGCTTGTTCTTGGCTGCGGAGACTCTTGGGTTTGGCCGCTGCCTTTTCATTGCTGTCCCACACAGCTTCCAGAGGCTGACCGGAATCGTCTACGCTGAGTGTGCTAGTATTGATCAACAACTATATTTAATTATTTGACCATCCATGTGCCTTCCCTTCCCAGGATATTGTTCTCACCTTGAAGGAGAAGCTCTCTATCCGGAGCATTGCACACTTCGCCCTCACCCTGGAGGAGCAGTACAATGCAGCAAAGGTCCACTTGCTGCATGAGGAGGAGCTCATTGAGCAGGTGTGGAGAACCCCTTGCATGGCCCCACAGCCGTGCTAGGGGGCACGGATACCAGTGAGTTGTAGCTAGTGAGGTGCGGAGAAGGCCCAACTCTGCAGGTGTCACAAGAGAATGGGCTTTGCCCCATCTCCAGAGAGAGATGCTTCCCTCTTCTCTCTGCTTTTTGCATGTGTTACCACTGCATTAGCCAGAGCCCCCTGAGTAACAGAGCTTTCAGAAGTGCTTCGCTCCCTTTAGAGAACTTGCAAAGCAATACCCACAGGCTGATAGGGCTTGGATTATGTAGAGCAATCAGGGAACAAGTATGGTTTGTGCCACCTATCAGACAGGCCCATCAACAGAGGATCAGTTGAAATTGTCTTAAAATAGCTCTGTATTGAGCCATTTGCAGTTTCTTTGATAGTCAAAGAGAGTTAACCCAGCCAAGCAACAACTTTGATCAAGCTCCTAGCAAGGAAACAAACATGTTGTTAGCTCTGTTAGTAATTCTGAGCTAATCTAATGTGGGAGAATGAGTCTACTTGTGAGTCAACAGTATGAACATGACGCTTTGCTGGTTGGTGATCCACTGTAATGCAGAGAGGTTTGGTAGGTAATACCATCTATCCCTTAAGCATGTGTCTGAGAATTTCTGTGTAGATTTTGTTGATTAACTTTTACTGGATTTGCCCAGAATTAAATATGCTAATATATAACCCAGGGATTTTACATTGTGGTGAAATTATGATGATGATCCAAGTGTCTGCTTTGGGCTGCTGTATCTGAAGACTAAACTTTAAAGCAGAGAAACCTGCCCCTTTGCAATTTTCATATGGCCTTGAAACCTCTGTCATTCTTATGCTACAAATATGAGATCAGTAGATACTAATAAAGTTCTATCAAATGCTGTTTGGGCACTACCACAGGAAGAAGCGAAAACCAGAAAAAGAATCTAAGATATAAATACAGAAGCATCTCCCTGTGTTTGCTAAGGACAGTGGCTGATCTGCAGCCATCCCACTTGCCAGTGCTTTGAATGATTTCTGTGAGTTCATATGAGCCAGGTGCTCAGTATGCATGTATGGAGGGACTGCACCAGTTGTTCTGGCATGATGCTGTTTGTCCATTGCAGGTGGTCCAAAAAAGAGAATCCCACGACTACCGGTGCCTCTTCAGAATTTGCTTTGTCCCAAAGGATCCCTTAGACCTCCTGCAGGAAGACCCAGTTGCCTTCGAATATCTTTACCTGCAGGTGAAACTGAGGCATTTCATAATTCTGGATCTTTTCCCATCCAGTACTCATTTCTTCTTTATGCTGAAGCATGGTTTAAGCCAGTTCAGTTACGTGAATATGAAATGCAGAGCATATAAGAATAAAGCATTTGTACTGAACTTGCAGTAAATTCTTAAATCGGTTTGCGAGCTTGGCTTTTTAACAGAATGACAATGAAATGAGCTGGGTGACTCCCTCTATTTGGCCCATACTAGTCATATAGGAGGTCTTATCCTGACTTCTTTTTGAGCTTTGTAATAGTGACATCATGCTAACTGAGCTGAGTTTGTTCCAGAGCTGCAGCGATGTGCTTCAGGAAAGGTTTGCTGTGGAAATGAAATGCAGTGTGGCATTACGTCTGGCTGCTCTACACATACAAGAGAGAATCTATGCTTGTGCTCACCCACAGAAAGTATCCTTGAAATACATTGAGTAAGTTTGAAAATTTCTGTGTTATGTTGTGAGTAAGCCTGGAAAAAATAGTGTCATCCTCTCTATGTTTGCCTAGTGTTTAGTTCTGGTTAGGAGACTGTCTCTGACCCAAAGAGACTACACTCTGTTCATTTTGCCTGGTGTTTTAACGCAAGGTAGCTAGCTGCCTGAGCCTCCCTGTCTTTAACCTGCTGAGTTGCCTAAATAATATGGGTGTTATAACATCTGAGCATCTCCCTAACCAGGCAGAGATTCTGGTTCAGGAGGGACATCAAATTGCAAATCTCCTGCTTAATTGTGCTTACTAAGGCTGCTTCTGCCAGTATACTGAAATACACAAGCTGTAATTTGGAGAGAGAATAATCACCAACTTTTCACAGTCAGTACTTTACATCCATTCACCCACCAGAACTTTCCCAGAAATACCTAATTTCAGTCATTATGTGAAATAATAAGATCTGGAAAACTACAGAAAAACCAGCAGGTGTGCTGTGCTGCCTGCCAGTGATGTTAAATCAAACTTTCCCTGAAGACCAGCCCTGCTTTAAGAAATTGTCGTGGGTCAATCATTAAGTAACTGGCATTTGTGCTGTAACTGCACCACAGAGCCAAAACCACCCTATACAGTGCCACTAATTCCCTGTGTACAGCCAGACATACTCGACCACATGCAGTCAGCAGAGAGTGAGAAGCAAGTACAGACAAGTATGCCATTCTTAGTTCATGGATATTTAATACTTCAGTTGAGTAAACCTTTCAGCAAAGCAGATGTGCCAAATTTTTAGGTGTAGGGAACCAGAGATGTTGAAACATGGTAATCTTGTAACCGAAGTAAAGTGAATGTAAAGACAGTTTTCATCCTGTGCGTAGCAAGGACAGACAAGACCAATATGCTTACTGACCTTTTAGATTGTTACCTGCGTAACAGTGGAAAAACAGGCGTTTTACATGAGACCACATGCTCCTCCAGCCCCATCAGCTGGCTGCCGTTCAGCATGTTCTCTTGTTGCTGTGGGACAGCACAGTTGGGACCTCTTTTGTTCCCCTTCCTGTCTTTCTGTCAGGAGAGACTGGGGAATTGAAAACTTCATCTCACCAACTCTGCTTCGAAACATGAGAGGGAAGGATATCAAGAAAGCCATCAGCTACCATATGAAGCGGAACCAGATCCTGCTGGACCCTCGGCAGAAGGTAGTATGCGTGGCCTGGGTTGGAGGTGCCTCCTGGAATACTGGCAGCATTTCTCAAGGCCAAAGAGGGCATGTCTTTCCTGTGCGGGTCTCTTCTTTATGTGACTGCTTGCTGTGTTTTTGTTTTTTTTTTTTCCCCCTCATATTTTCATTTTGTAATCTCTGCAGCATATGCACCTTAATTTCCCCATATAGTGTGTTGTGATGCAGTTTGCTTGTGCAGTTGTCAGATGGTAATTGTGGTAATATAGTATGGTCCTATTCAGATTTATTGCATATGGAAAGCAAGCTTTATGTGTTGGTCAAATACTGTGTCCTGTATGAAAAGAATGTCTTCTAGCCAATAGGCTAGCTGACAAATTTTATTCTCTGTCATGTTTCTAAACAATGTTCCTTGTCTTGCAAAATGAAGCATATGCTCGCAGCAGTCCAAGTGCGTCTGAACTACCTACAAATCCTGAGTGACCTGAAGATGTACAATGGGAAGATCTTTAATGCCACCCTGATGGTATGAGTGCTATTTATCAATGTAATTGGGGTTTAATATGCTGTCTCAGCGCCTCCTCTGTGCATCTTCCATGCAGTATACTTGGACAATAACTGGAAATCCAGGACACAAGGAGTAGTTTTACCCTTTTTTTCCAACGGTGAACAAGATCAGCTCTAAACCAAAGCAAACCCTATCTAAAGCAAGGATATTTAAATATTGTTCTACACTGTTGACATAAGACTAGCAGCTGAGCCTTCTTCCATGTCTTTGCTTTGATGCTTGTAGAAAATGTAATAGAAGGCTCTGCTGATGCTGTTTCAATGAGCTCTAGTATGATACCACTCTTCCCGTCCTTGGGACCTCTTGGTAAATATTGGCCAGGGTGTCTGCAAGGGTAACTCAGCGTAGCTCCACTGAAGTCAATAACAAAACAGTTACCCAATAATTATGCGTAGTTTCCTAATCGAAGTTTGTGACTGGCCCTTCAGATGAAATCTGTCCATGTTCTGAATGTCAAAAGGTATTCAAAGATTAATATCTTAGCATGTTTCAAAAAACAACTGTTATGAAAATATTTTGGCCAATCTTAAACCTTTCTGTAAAAAAGAATTCTGTTCAGGCAAGAGGTTTCTTGGCTAGTTGCCTCTCCCCATGTGGATCTGTAATGAATGATGGACCACAGTTCATGGAGTGCTGAGCAGTATAGGTGGGCCTGTACCAGAGGAGGAGCTTTCTGAATGGTTTGCAGTAATGTCTAGGTTTACACCTATGTGCAAATTGAAATATTTCTGCCAAACTATATGGACATTAAGTTAACATGTTTTTTTTTTAAGTGTCAGATCCTAACAGAAAGTCTTGATATTGCTTCCAAATCCAAAAATGCCTTCTTGAAGTTTCTGGCCAGCTCCAGTAGGTCTTACTAGGTCTATCTGGCACAGCCAGCCAGGTGACACTTCTGATAGCAAGCTGCTGCTGACCACCTCTTTGGATCTGTTAGATGCCTGGTGCACCTCTGGGGCCACCTGCCTTGGGGGCACAGGGAAACTTGCGGTCCCCAAGTCAGAGAAGAGAACGGCCAGGAGCAGGTGACCTGACGGCCTGTAAGTAACAAGGGGCTCCCTTTGCAGCTGGCTAGAGCCCAGTTGTAAAGGGAGTCCAGTGTTAAAAGATACCACAAAAGAAGGGGTGGCTCAGGAGTCCCTGCCCAGTACAGGCAAATGGGTTCCTGCTTAGATTTCAGCTAAAGATTCAACCTCTCTCCCTACAGCTACAGGACAGAGAATCATACGTTGCACTGCTGGTGGGTGCCAAGTATGGGGTGAGCCAGATTATCAATAGCAAGCTAAACATCATAACAAGTCTGGCAGAGTTTGCAAACATCAGCAGGGTGGAGCTTACAGAGGAGTCTGAGAAAGTGAGCATGGTAAAAATCTACCTACAGGATCTGAAGGTAAGTGGTGCTCTTGTGGTAGCCAGCATGTGGCTGCATCAGGGACAGAGAAAAAGGGGGGAGTCATGCACACTGTCTTTTTTTTTTTTTTTAATTAAATCTGACATTAAGCTGATGGTATCATTAGTACAAAAGGCTTATGAGCTCTCCTTCTGAGTCTATTCTAGGAAGAATACCAAATGAGTGAAGAAAAGTTATTATTCTTGCTGTGCTTTATCAGCGAGACCTATCAAAGAAAACCCAACAAAAACTATTTCTCTTCTTTCTCTGTGTTTCATACAGAAACAGAGTGCTGTACAAATATGGCCATATGGGGGAGAAGAAATGTCTTTTCAGTGTGCCGCATGTTCCTGCAGACTGTGGTACAGGTGATGTTTGCCTGTTCTAACGTTGTTGTTTTCTGTTCCCTTACTGGAAAAAAAAAAAAGATGCTGACTCTGCTGCTGGAATCAAACAGTGCAAAAGATCTTGTTTGCCTCATCATTGGCTACTACAGACTGTTCGTGGATGCGAATGCCTCCATATTTACTTGGGGAGAGAAAAGACAGCAACCGCACCGTGTCTCAGCTGAAGAAGGTTAATTTGCCAAAGAATGGGGAGAAAGTGGGTGGATCATCCAGCAGTATTGGTGTTATTCCCTCTTAAGAGCAGTGTCATGCTAGAACAGTAGCCTGGAAATGAACAGTGACATCTACAAAATGTTGAGACTATCAGCCTTAGTGTCACTGCCATTTTTCCTTGAACCCCAGACATGTTGGGCAGGGGGAGAGAAGCAATGATTATCATCTATTTCCAAGAAGTGGAGGCGGTTTCTGCCATTGAACCTGTTACTGAGCACTTGCGCTTTTACCAGCCTCCAGAACAATTTACCCTCTGGCCAGCATCTGCTGACCAGGAGAAGGAGAGTCTGTTTGCCATGCTGTCCTGTCTCCTGTAAGGGTAACTCCAGTCTAATAGGGTTTGCAGGCAGAGGCTTTAGGCAACGTGTTGCCTGGCTGCTTTTCTGCAGCTCCCTTTGGTTACTGTGCTGCAGTAAAAGCAGACAAAGCAGGCAGGAAGGACCAAGCCTCCACTTACGGGTTATGATCCTGCAGGTCAGATTGCATCTTTACATTGTTTACTGATGAGGATCTGAAGGCAGAGTTCTCTGGGCTTTGAATCCCTACTCTGTGACCAAGTTTGTAAACCCTTTTCTGGCTGTTCCTCTTTGCCACCGCAAAGGACAGGCTGACAGATGTGTTTAAATCACAGGATACGAATCTCGAACCTGCAGTGATTCTGAAGACTCCTGGGAACTGGATTCCTCCTTAGAGCATTGCTTGGGCATGCCCGCAGCATACAGCAGCACCCCTCCTGCGTGTGAGAAGGAGCTGGGAGAGCTTCACAGCCGAGAGAAGGACAGCAGCACAAAGCCCCAGGCTGGAGGAAGTGACCAACACGATGCAGGTGGCAACACAACAGACAGTACATCTGAGGCTTCAGATTCAGCCAACACAGAGAGCCGAGGGTTTAAGACAAGTGGTTCAAGTGACTCAATGGATGCACTGGAGGAAGATGAGTTGGAAGCTTGCTCTTCCTCCAGGCCAGAGTTCTTCCACTTCTACACACCAACTGTACACGAAATGAACAACTCAGATGAGAGTTTCTTTCCTGTTTGTGCTGCAGAAGGCTCCAGCAGGGCAAAAGACAGGGACTTCTTCTGTTTCTTGCAGGTACCAGAAGCAGAGGAGCATGGACGTGAGCACAGCCCCTGGGAGGAGAGAGGAGTGGACATAGGTGTGTCTATGCTAGGGTCCAAGCTATCTGAGAGAAATGCCATGGGCTATTACAGCCTGTGTTGCAGCGTATCCCCTGCAGGCAGTGTAGAGAAGAGCAACATCAGTCACAGCCCTGGAAGAAGGCCTTGGAAAGATGTGTCAGCCCAAGAAGAGGCACACTGTGGAGCAGAGCAGGTAGCAGAAGCGAGTGATCTCATTTTGGAGCCACCCCCAGGCTTTGGTGACACCAGCTCTGAGGAAGAGTTCTATGATGCTGCAGACAGCCTCAGCCCCCCGGACACCCTGGCAGGTAAACCTGTACCCACCCCACTGCAGGTCACCTCCTGTCCTCACCTTCCTTCCTTCCTTCTCCTAAGCTAGGGTGATGGCTGTTTGCCACGTCAGTCTTCTGGGAAAGAGCATCCTTCAGCTGTTCAGAGTTTTCCCAAGACTGTTGTAAGACCTTTGAACACCCGTTCTCTGCAAGCCACTCTTCATCAAAGAATACTTTACAAAGCTGCCAGTGAACGTGCATATAGAGGTCAGAACAGCAGCTTGGCAGAGAGATTTGTCATCACATCTAAGCACTCACTCTGAAAAGAGTTGGTTTTCAAATGAGTTTGGCATTCTGGGAAGTCCCCAGGTTTCTGGAGGAATTCCAGAATACCAAAGTATGGTTCTGGCTGATCTTGAAGCCATCATGCTGCAGGAGTAAGTTCTGTGCATCCTTCTGTATAGGCTGAGTCTTTGGTGATGGAAAAGGTAACGAGTTCCAGAAACAGAATGCAAGAAAGATATATGCCTTTGCACTAGCAGACACCTTGATGGCAGATATTCCTGTCAGGCACTACCTTCACTCTGCTATTCTTCAAGTTTTGGGAAAGCTGGAAGCAGTAAAACAGCTTATTGCTCCATGCACCCCTGAGATCAAAACAAATTCTGGGGTTAGAGGCACGCCATGTAAATGGGGAGGGTAGACTTATGGCTGAGCAACAGCTCTCTGTAATCGTATTTTCTCACCAAGGAGAGGATTCTTGTTTTCTGAATTAACCAGCTCTGCTAGCACTAACTGAACCAAAGAATTCATTTTATGTAGTTAAAATAGTGTTGGCTTTTGAGTTCTTGCATGGTGACAATACAATGTTCAGGCACAAAGCTGTTATCTCTGTGTGTTTTTATGGTCTAAATATCCAGGCTGGGAATTTCTGAGGCTTCTCTTCAGTGTTAATAAATCTGCTCCTGTAGGTAATGCTCTAGTGTGCTGCTTATAACACCAAATTTAACATGAGAATTATAGCTGTACCTGCAGTCAGACCAAGCGACTTCAGTAAGCAAGGGGAGAGATTATCTATCCAGCTCCTTTCATAACTAATCCTCTACTTCAGTTTTTATAGCCATAGGTCCAAATAAATTTTTCTTGATGTAGCTTGGTCTAAGTCGGTGCATGACAATAAGAGAGGCTTTCCTTTGGCACTTAGGAAGCAGGCTCTGTTGCCAAACCCTTATGTCTGCAATTGTAGGACTTGAGTTAAAAGCTTTTTGGCCCGCTATGTAGGTGTATGTGTATCCTGCTGCCTGGGGCCATTTTCTGACTTGCATCCTCTTTCCTTGCCAGCAGCCTACAAGATAATGTCCCAGGAAGGTATAGACAACTCCTGCAAGAAACCAAGGTGTTACAGCCTGGGGGAAAACCTAATGACAAGGCAGACAGCAAGAGAGAAGAATGGAAAGGAGAAGCAGCTGACATATGCCAAGAGCCTGAGGAAGAGGAGATCTTTTCTGAAAACCAATTATACCTCACAGGTCACTTTCCCACTGGCTTTACCAGACTCCCTGCAGAGCTACTGCACTTGGCCACCCACACCACCACTGCTTGCTCAGCCCCCAGATCCACCATCCCCAGAGAACTTCGAGAAAGATGCAGAATCAGGACTTCCTGCTGCCACCCAGGCCCAGAGAGACACGGCTAGCACAAACCCATCCTCTGACATGATGGAAATGGAACCTGACACCATGGAAACAAAGTCAGTGACTGATTTGGTGGTTTCTTCCATTTCAGCTGTTCGCCTGCAGGGTGACCACAGGGAGGAGAGTGCAGGCATTGCCATACCTGTGGATGACCTTTGTCCAGCACGTGCTGCATACCCACCTTTCTTGTTCCTGGAGGAACCCATGTACCTTCCCAGGGAACAAAGCAGAGTTGTCCGGGGAAGTCCCACAATGGAGGTAAATACTGGGTGGCCAAGTGATGAGAGTTGTGTGAGCATCGGAGATTGGCTGGCCCAAGCAGCACTGGGAGGGGAGGGTGAGATGATGGAAGTCAAGCATGAGGCTGGCAATGTCCCTCTGTTCCAGGTCCGAGAGGTGACTTGCCCTGCTGATGAATGTACTCTGCCCTCTTCATGCTGTGTTGCCAGCATGGCCATTCCCCATGGGGTGACACAGGACCAGGATCTGCTTCCTGCTGCTGGGGAGCAAGCTGCATGGGAGAAGCCTGTCCTGGCTCCCTGTGAGGAAGGAAAAGCTAACCTTGACAGCTGTGCTGACTGTGAGAGTGACCATGCCTCATTGCAGGCAAAAACCAGACAAGAAATAAACAAGGAAGCCTTACAGAAAGTGCACAGTAAAAGTCACATGGGCTTTCCAGATGCAACCCAGCTGTTAACAGATTGCAGCAGCACCTCAGGGGTTATAACTCGCCTCTCCTGGCTCTCATTTGGTGCAAGATCAGACCTAACATCACCCAGCCCATCTCAGAAGAGAACAGATGCCCCACTAGAGCTTTTGGACTCTCAGAGGACCAGTAGGTGCCTAGAGGTTGATGTTGTCAGAAAGGAGATGCAGATATCCTCAGCTACACTACCCTTTGAGAAAGAGCTGAAAAGCAGACATGGGCTGGATGAAGGGGTGTCCAGAAAAGACACAGAAAATGTTGCTCACGAACAGACCTGGTCTGTTCAGATTTCTCCCAGAGAACAGGTTACAGAAGTGGAGAAAGACTCTCCCCTGACTCCTTCTCAAGGGCTTTCCATCTCCTCAGGCGTAATTCCCTTGGGCTCATTGGAAAAAAGAGCAGGAGACCACAGGACTTCAAATTACTCCTTCCTCTGCTTTAACCAAAAGAAGGATGAGCAGGCACTTTCCGGACCTATCATGACCAGATTTTGGGGATTTTCCATGATGAAGACATCACCACCACAATTTGGAATGGACAAGTGCAGCTGTCAGCTATCCTATGTCAGCTGCTTTCACAGGCCTGACGAAGAAGGAGAGCAGGAAACCACCATTCCTATGTGCAGCTTGTTTCTGCAGCCCCTCACCACCCCACCATCCACCAACCGCAGTCTTCCTGGGTCCTCTGTGGACAGTTACCCTGTGACCATCGCTAGGGACAAGGCTGTGTGGGACCCTCATGTCCAAGCCCTCAGCCAGCTGAATGACCAAGCACAGATGAGCCCCGCAGACTTCTCCTGCTTCCTGGCCTACACTACAGAGCTCAAGGAGGTTGTGGGAAACCTCTCAGGGAACCAAGCAACCCACCTGCAAGACCGATGTGCTGAGCAGGGTGCTGAGAGCAAGGGTGCCCTTGGCTTAGCCTCCCAGGACCTGCTGTCCAGTTGCAAGGAGCTTCTGAAAATAGAGCGGCCACTTGAAGAGCTGCAGGATGCTTTGAGGGTGACATTTGGGCACCTTGTTCAGCTGGCAGTGGCCTGCTTCCAGGTGACACACTGCCAGCTGTGCAGGCAGAGGCAGCAGGAGCTCAGGGCCGCACTTGTGGATGTGGTAGGCACCTATCACCAGTTTGTGCAGGCTGTTCACCAGCAGCTTCACAGGCAAGGATGCCCAGACCTGGGCACCAAGCTCCTCACTCGCCAGCACACAGCCCTCACTGCTGCCATGTTTTGCCTCATGCAGCAGTTCAGGGTGCCCCCACTGTTTTGACAGGCCAGTTGGTGGCAGATGGATGCGGTGAGTGGAGAGGAGCTCAGATGTGTTCCCTCCGTGCAATACCAGGCTCTCCTGCCTTGGATGTTTAGACCCCCAGCTCAGCAAATAGTCATGGAAGGGCATGTCCATGCGCATTGGCAACTGCCCAGTTCAAGGGTGGCCATGGGGAAGGGCATGCCCCGCTCTAGCCAAGCTTTGTGTAATTCTGTGTACACAAGCACTGTGTAATATGCAAACTCATAGAGCAGTAACTTCAGTAACTTACATATCTAGCCTGGGGTTTGTCCCTCACCTCCCGAATGCTTTGCAGACGGCTAGTCTCAGGGTGGTGTCGTAGCCTTTTTCTGTCACCTGCGGAGAGAGCCTTTTGTCTGCCTTTCCTCAGTCCTTACAAACATGCCAGGCAGGGAGATGACCAAGCAGGCTCTGAAGTTGAGTGAAATCGACGTCCACCCTGGTCTGACAAAGAAACCCAGGCTGCTTAGTCCAGTCTCTGTGGCTGAGCTTGTGATTGAAAACACTTCGGGGGGGGGGGGGGGGGGGAACCACTATATATGTGCTGTTTGACTGCTTTTGCAAAGGGGGTAGAGAAGGTTTTCCCAGGCTGGGGATACACCATATCCTCTCCTTCTGACATGGTTTCTGCAGGTCAGCCATATCTTCTGTTCCCATTTGCTGATGCTAAAGAAAGTCCCTAATCAGCATCTTCTTCCCTTTGCCCCCCCTCGCTATGATATATCAGCCGTGTAAGTGTTTAAGAATCCCTGTCTTCCGAAAAAGGAAGTCCTAAGACTGAAGTACCAACCTGACAGCCATTGAGATGAGCCATGATGTTAGCCTCCCTTGGAGAAGGCAAGCCCCTTTTCCCAACTTTCTTATCAATAGCTCATCTTGCATTATGTGCTAGGTGTCCCTAGCTACGTATGAGCTGTTAGCATGTAAACGTTTTCTAAGTTGCGTAGTCAATCAGTGTGCCTTCCAGTGCTGGAGGTACATCCTCAGGTCTCCAGTGATAAAGAAGGCAGCAAAAGGTCCCCGAGTGCTGTTTTCTGACTTTAGGAATTTGTTTGCAGGGGTGGTGCTTCCAACAGTCCCTGCAGATGAGTGTGCTCAGAATGGAGGGGCCTGCCTAAGGCAGCAAAGGGGAGCAGGTAGGCTCCCAGCTGCCTTGTTCCACACAAGGTCACCCCATCTCCTCATGTGCCCAGGAAGCGGGTGGTCAGGACTGTCCCATGATTCTGAAGTAAAGGACAAGTCCTTGCAGCTGAACCCTAGTGTAGGAGATGGAGGCCGCTGAGGGTGCTAGCGGGTGGGTACTACATGGATGCTGTAGCAGTCCTAAGGGACCTCCCATGCCATGGAGATGCTGAAAAACACCCATAGGAATCTGGCAGCCTTTAGCAGCCCTACACTGACTCCAGTGCAGGTGCTGCCTCTCACTGTGCACCTACAGGCAGAAAGCTAGGCAAGCTGCCCGAGGGCCATCTGCTTTCCTGGCTGCAGAGGCTAAAGTGCCTTCAGCCACGGGGGGAGGATAGATGAATATTCACTGAAGCAGGATTTTGTGACAGTTATCGCTGGCAGGTTGTTTTAGTTAGTGTGTGTGCTGCTGCCTAACAATCTCAGGGGATGAATAAGCAAGACAAAATCTCTTATACTTAAGCCAAAGTGCAGACTTGCTGCTTTAGCAGGGTGCAGTGACACCTAACTATGCACTAACAACTGATGAGCAGTGCTGTGTGACTACAAACAGAAAGAGCCCACAGGCTACAATAAAGCAACAGGCACCTGCAAAGACAAATTCTGCCTATATGGGGATCAACAACTACTGCCTATCAACAGCTTCAGTCATTGACAGTGGGTGTTCTTGTTTGTTTTTAAAGCAACAATGACTTTGATAACTTTATCTTGTGTGCATCAAAAATGCTCTCTGCTCAGGACATAAAATGCATCATGGTTCTGTGCAGAGCACAGTCAAATCCCAGATACCTTTTTCAAGAGGAACATCAGAGTTAGTGAACGTCGCACATTAGTGCAGGATGATGGATAATGGTAACACAGCAGTAGCTGTAAGGATGCAATGTGACTTTAAACGTTTTATTTTAGGTTGTGAGCAGCATGCACAGAATTACCTACAGGCTTCAGCCAACTCTTCAGTACAAGAGGTATGAAGAAAATAGCACATGGTGTACCTGTGAACTTGATTCATTGCAGAATCTCTTCCCATCCCATGTTCCCCAATTAGAACAGCACTGCCCTTTTCTTTAGGAAGGACTTTTATTCAACAATGTGCTCTGTAATTCTTCCTATTTAATCAAGGTGAAAGAAATAACCATTAAGCTCTCCTCCCCGTCTTAGAACAGTTGCAGGTTTAAGAGTAACAGATTCTCTATTTTCATTCGCAGATGCTTGTTAAACTGAATTCCTGTCAGTTCTTCGTTGATGCCAAGGCTCAACTGGCTTTTGTTTTTCATTTCAGGATGAAAAGTCATTTCCAGCATTGTACTGTTGAGGCAGAATGTGTCACTCTTGACGAGGTCTGTATGCAAATAAATTTAAGCAGAGCTGTTTTTTCTATACGTGTTCATGCTAGTGCCTCTGCTTGAAATCTGAAGTTTGCTGCTCTTCCCTGCAGAACTCCTTAACATCATAAAATAAAAGAGTTTTCTTGTGCATCGTCATGCTGAGGTATCTCCAGTTACTTCTCTGCATCTGGAAGCACGTAGCCTTTTCCAGAAGAAACTCCAGCTTTCAAGGCATCTGGCCAACTTCGGGTCTTGTAGTAAGTTGACAAGACATCAAAGACTGTTAGGAACAGAGACATGTACCATGCTCTGATACGCTTATCCATGGCAAGCCATACTACATATTCCACTGGCTGCAGAACATTAGGAACTGAGAATAGATGATGCCAGAGTAGATTAGCATAGGGCTTGTGCTCCTTTTCACTTCAAATCTTACGAGCAAATGTTTAAGTTAGCGTATCTGAGAGCAAGCGACGTACCTATTTTGATGATGATGGGGAAGCTCTGACTAGGAAAAGCATAGGCTTTGACAACCAAAGCAACTTGCCTTGGTTCAGGCTGACACTGGCCTGTCCTCCCTTGCCTAGGAGCTTGAGTGACTTCTAGCAAGGGCAGCCTCCTCACCTTGAATTGTGCAAAGCTGAATGGTGCAGTCCTGCTCCCTGAGAATGGGCTGATACAGAGAAGTGTGAGACTTTTAAAACTGAAACACTAGGGACAAGGCCTAGCAAAAGAGAAGTCTGCTACCAGTTTCCCTCACCACTCATTTTAAATGCTCTCTCAGAGCCTGTTAACTTTACCCACCCAGGCACATGACAGGACATGGCTCAGCCCCTCACCTTGATTAATTGCTAGTGTCTCCGAGTGGTAGTTCTTGGTGTTTACAGCTTTTACCATGTACTCACGAATTGGGAGGCGGGCTGTCTGCAAGGACTGCTCTTGTGCCCTTCGCAGAGTCAGCTTCTGCAAGGGGAACAAGAACAAGGTACCCAACGTGCACAAACATCTATAGCATGAACATCATTTTGAGGACAAGCAGCTATGAAGCTGGAAACTGTATTGGAGTTCATTTCACTCGGACTGTTCTGGTCTCTGCCTGGTGCTGGATCCAGGCAGAACCTTGAAGTTCTGTCAGAAAAATGGATGGTGGCACAATAGTGATGTCTCAAATCAGGGCAGCAGCAGCACTGGGCGCTGCCACTCGGATGTCTGCTCAGTAGAATGTAGGGCAGACAAGACTTTCAGATTCCAACAGGCTACTACCCACCTTGTGAATACTTTCATCCACCAGGCCTCCAAGGATGTACACTTTTTTGGGATCAATATCTTCAAGGACTAGAAACAAGATAAGTACATGCTCATCACCTAAAACAGTAAAGTCATGCGCTACACCATTCTCCAGGCAAGGCCCAACTTACATGAGAAAGCTGTGGCCAGTCACCTTTCACCCTCAGACTGTGCAGGAAGCCAAGGCTTCTAAGACAGAAGTGTCTGCCTGAACCTGCAGGCAGCGTGAAAAGGGGAGAGCACACGTAGACCGAAAGCACAGACTGCCAGGGATGCAGCTCTATAAGCAATGCTTTGCTCCTTTTCATAACTTCTATTCTGGCACAAGGCTGATGTGGTGTGATCCTAATCTGCTCTGCAGTTAGCTTCCCACTGTCAGGGTCACCTACCAAACAAACACACACACACACATGCGCCCCCTCACCAGATTCTTTACCAGAGCTGCTTTCTTCCATAGAACGAGAAAGGGATCTGTGTCCCCATGAACATGGGGCCAGGTAGAAATGGAGGGAGAGGAGAAAATGAACTCAGCACCAAATTAAACAATAAAGGGGATATTTATAATGCATCCAAAACTGCCACTGCATCTCCACTTTTCTACTTGGTAGTATAACAAACTGCAGGTGTCTACACAGAGTTTTAGGTTAGGTTTGCTGCAAATCAAAGCAGCATTGCTTCAGAACTTCATCCTGTGCCAAAACAGATTGAAATCGGAGTAGACTGAGTGTAAGATCTAAGGACACAGTATATCTCATGCAGCTTGAGACAACGAGTGCTTGGAATACGATGCATGAAATATTCCTAAAATAAAAGCTTAAAAAAAAAATCAATCCTATGCCTTGGTTCCCTGTGCTTAAAGCAAATAAAATATTTACCATTCTCAGAGTCAGGAGTGAGATAAACAATGGCATCTAAAGGAAACAGGTCCAGGTAACTTTCTTGAGTAGTATCCATCTGAAAAATGCAACACAGTAGGAGAAGCCCATTAGTCCTCAGTTCAGCTGCCACAAGCTTCCAGACAGAAAGAAGCATACTGAAAGTGATGCCACTGCTTTTAGGTGTCTAAAACCCTACAAATATGTTTTGTTTTGTTTTTCTTTTTTTAACTGAAAAAAAAAAAATAATTCTACATGGGCACTGATTGAGTACGTCAAGATCCATTAAATTCTCATCAAAATCTCTAGACATGGTTTGAGAAAGAGAGAGAAACAACTTCCTCATTTCAAATGAGATTTTAATTCTTGAAAGATTCAGGAATCTCTGTTTCACGTGATTTTCTCCCCTCACTGTTACAACACACGGCCCCAGGTGTGCTGCAGAACACATACATAGCTCAATGTCACTACCATAACCTGCACGCGTAGGTCACATCCCTAAGTCCCACTGAGCTTGGTACAGCAGGCCAGGCCAGCCCAGCACTGACCCGCACAGGGCCAGCAGCACGGCTGTAGGGTGCCATTAGACAGGAGCACAAGCCACTGCAATGGGGCAGCCTTTCCTTCTAGGCCTCAAGAGCACTGTAGGCAGCAACCCTTACCAAGTAATTGGAGAAGCCGTCGTTCATGCGAAAGCACTCCTCGTAGATCAACGAGCCCACGACAAACTCGGTCAGGTAGAGCCAGAACGGCTTCTCGGCCTGTCTGTTGGCCCCGTAGAGCCTCCTGATCTGCGAAGCAAGGCGGCTGGTTTCCTTGCAGGAGACACCGAGCACCACGTTACTGACTGACACGGCCGACAGCAGGGGGGTGCTGCGTCCCCCGCGGCGTTCAGCCCGGGAGACCCCCGGCGTGCAGGCGCCCCGGCTGCACGGCGGCCCCGTACCTTCAGCGACATGCGGTCGGCCATGCCGAGGTCCACGCAGAGCCGGGGCCCCGACGCCCGCGCCTCCAGCAGCCGCTGCTCCGCCAGGGCCTTGCTGTGCCGCCGGGCGGCCCCTGCGGGACAGAGCCGAGAGACCTCCAGGGGCTGCCCCCCCCCCCCCCCTTCCCCCGCCGCCCTCCCCCGGCCCCGCGCCGCTCACCTCGGCCCCCGTCCCGCCGCGCCCGGCTCCGCTCCCTCTCCTGCCGCCGCCGCCTCCTCCGCGCCGCCAGCACCCGCTCCCAGCGCCTCCGCTTCCGCAGGACGTTCCTCTGCGGGGCGGCAGGGCGGACACACGGCTCAGGGCCCGCGGCCGACCGGCGCCCCCCGGGCCCCGGCCCCGGCCCCGGCACCCACCGAGCACGGCGCCGCTCCGCCCGCCCCCGCCGCCGCGCTCGGCCCCGCGGCCGCCGGCTCGATGCGGAGCAGCCGCAGCGCCTCGCGGAGCGCCGCCGCCTCCCCCGCCTCGCCGCCGCCGCCCTCCATCGGCGCCGCTCCCCCCCCGGCTCCGCTCCGCTCCGGCGCTGCCCGTGCTGGGCGGAGCGGGGCGGAGCGGGGGGCGGCCGGCCCCGGCGTCGCCCTTCCTGCGCTTGGAGAGGTTTCTGAAGCCGCTGAACGGCGCTGCAGCTGTAGGGGGCGGCTGCCCCCGGGATGGGGTCGCGCAGAGAGAGAGAGGCACAGCCCTGCCAGAGAGTTTCCACCCTACCCGTATGGGCACGGGCTGATTCATTCATTCATTCATTCATTCATTCACTCATTCATTCATTCATTAATTCGTTAATTCATCTATTCGTTCGTTCGTTTATTTATTTATTCATTTATTTATTATTTTAAAAGTTGCTTGTCGTATTCCATCTTTATTTTTCTGTTCAGCCTCAGCAGTCTCATTCTGAGATGGTTTTCCTTTCATGAGTTACTTGCTGCAGCGTCCTGCTCATTTTCATCTGTGCTGCGTAGATGCCTCCTGGTGCAGTTGCTTTGGAGTCATCCTTCACAGCAGCAAGCAGACGTGACCCTGGTTATCACGGTGACTCACTCATGCTGTAGGAGTGGATTGACAGTTCGGTTTGGAACTCAGCTACACCCATGCCAAAAAAGAACACTTGGAGTGTGCATGATCTAACGGGTTTAATTTTCACCCCAAATTTGTGGGGAATGCTGTTGGAATGACTGGTAATTACGCAGTGTTCCTTGGGAGTTTGGATATTGCTGTGGTGAGTGATGAAGAGCTGTGGAGACTGCTCACAGTACGCTCTGTACAGGGAGTCGAGACACCTTGGTGCTGCTCCCACACCTTCACCACCGACCTAAGGCTCACCCAGCGGGAGTCACCCCTCTTGAATGCCACTTTCCTCAGCTGTAAATTAGAGCTGCTGGAGTAAAGCACTTTGAGACACAGCTGAAGAGCTACCAAGACCCGTAACCTAGAAATGCCTATAGCTTCTCTACCAAACACTGCATGATCACAACACCTTACTGCATTAGTGCAGTATTTCAAAGTGTGACACACAGTCCTGTCAGTACCAAACTCTTTCCAATGGTCTTGGTATGACAATGCTGTTTACTACAGGCCACCAAAAGGCCTGAATCTGGTGCCACTTTACTGGCCTGCAGGAGGTGAGGCTGCTTTGACTGGTGTAAAAAAGGTGGATCAGACAAGAAAAAACAAAGTCTTCAATTTATTCGTAGTGCTGCCCGCTACTGAAGATCTGTTAGGTCTACTGCTGGATGTTTACATGATGTTGTATGAAGAGCAGTGGAGAAAACATTTTAGCTTGTGAGATGCCTCAGGTTCAGCACTGGAGCAGATGGGGTCATCCATGAATAGTGAGAACTATGCAGAACAGCAGCGCTAGCCTGCCATCTGAGACAAACGTGTAGGAAGGAGGTGAGGGGATGTCATGCTCATCTGATGTCCACTCAGCAGTGTAGTGCTAAAGCCAAGACTGAGGCTTGGGTTCTCTTTTCCAGTGTGCCAGCTGCCTGCTAACAGCACAGGGTGATTTACAGAGACAGAGGTGCCCTTCAGTCCTGTCATAGCTGAGGAAAAACCCTCCCTTCCCAGGCTCCCAACACGATAAATGTCCATCCAAATAATACATGTTCCTCTCTCCTTTTTCACCAGCATCTGCCTTTCCTAGTCGCTGGGGGACTAAAGAGAAGGCCCCGCATGGCAGCCCTGTGCCATGCATACAGCACCACGGAAGATAGCTCTGCCAAACCTATTGGACGATACCCAGTGCCAAATAAGAAGGATATGCCATACGATATTGTGGAGCTCATGGAGGAAGTAGAAAGGAAGGTAAGAAGTTTTGTTGTAAAATTACATCAGTGGCAAGCATCCAAACCTTGAGTAGGTAATACATTGTAAGACGTTGTAATACATTGTAAGTTCCCGTACACTTTGATGTAACACAATCCTGATACAAGACTGAGGTGAGCTGCACTTCTTCCAAAGCTCTTTCCAATCTATAGGATGGGGGTTTTACTGGTAATTCTGCAGGGTAAACGCTGTATGTCTTCCTGGTTCCCTGAGGCTAGCGTGTCAGACTGGGTTGTATAGGGTGGAAGCAGGAATGTTGGCATGTTTTCTGGGGAGAGCATCTGCATTCAATTGAAACACTGCTACAAATATATATATATGTATATATATATATATATATATATATTTGAATTGGAAAATATATATATATTTGAATTGGAGAAAAAAAAAAGTGGTGGCAGCTGTTTTGATGATAGCATGAAAAGGCTAAGAGGGTACTTCTGCTGCTGTGCTTTGACTTTTTTACCCAACACTACATGGGGAACCACATTAGGCATACTGGCACAACAGAACAGTAAGCCTAACACACAGCTGAGTGTATGGAGGACAAGAGTTTCCTTCCCTACTGCTGCGGAGAGCGAACGTTGCACATGCTTCACTGATGCTGAAACATTGCACAAGCCACAGCTCTTCTGAGACTTCTCTTTTCCAAGACCTTCCTCTCACAGGAAAGCTGGTCCATCCCTTCCTGTCCTGTGAGTCTGCTGAATCTTTGCTTTGTTACAGTGACCTCAGGGAAGTTGTCTATTAACAAAACGAGTCAAATAACAAATCTGATACACTGAGAAAGAGTCAGCACAGATTTCAGATGCTGTGACAAAAACCCTTCTGTGCCAATGCATAGAAGATTCAGAAAAGACCTATGTATAGTATCAAAGCTACATAGAAAACTTGCTTTTCAAAAAGTGCTCCCAACTATTCAGTGTTGGCTTAAGGGGATGAGCCTCCCCTTTGTTAGCTATCAATTAATAGACGTGTGAGACGGAAGGAATACTTAGGCAGTTGTTTGGAGGGAGATTGTTGGGAGAGCGAGTCACACCTGAGCTACGCTATGAGCTACTTTACATAAACACCCTGAAGAACAGCAGCCCATACGCTGGTAGAGTCTACAGATGATTACTGCAATCACGACAAAAAAAATGAGTGTGTAAAACTGCAGTGGGATCTCACCATGTCTGGCAGCCAGGCACTGAGGGGCAATTGAAATCCCATACTGATAAATGCTGGCTGCTGGAACAGGTGGGCGCTGTAAGAGCTTCTCTTGCCTGTAGGAGGTAGCAAGTGATTCCCTGTGAATGGCATGCCATCAAAGAGATGTGCTGTACATCGCCAATTACCCGGGAGAGAATGGAGAAAGAAGCAGAGGAACATCACTGTGCCAGCATGTTATACTCAGTGTGCCTGTACCTCCTACACTGTGCTGTTTGGGCTGGACTGGCTCTGTCTTGTGTCTAGTAAACTTGAAGGAATGAGGAGAGCTCCAGGAGCTGTAGGATAGTCAAAGGGGCATTGTCGCTGCTGAGCAGGGAGATGAAACAGATGATAATGTTTCTCTTTGAAAAGGAGTTTGTCATATTGCCCCAAGGCAATACTGGTGTGTCTGAAGTGAGCAAGGCAATCAGTCCTGCTATGGAACTGCAGCAACACTTAGTTAAGGACAACGTCATTACATTTTTAGTCATGTATAAATGGGTTCAAAGCACAAAGAGATTGGGTCTGTGGAGATTGCTCAGTACTGCTGTGCTAATTAATTATTATCTAAGCTTAATGTGGCCTGCTGTTCTCTGTTAAGTTACAGTTCTTGACTTGTTTATCTTTTTCCTTGAACAGACTGGATTTCTGCCCAATGTCTTCAAAGCCTTGTCTCACCGACCTGACGAGTTCAGAGCTTTTTTTGCTTATTACAATGCCATTATGAACAAGGAGACAGGTAAACCATACAACCACCTCAAAACTGCCCGTCTCTTTATAGATGTAAAAAGTCCTAGAAGCAGCATTTCTGACATTGTCAGTTTTATTCCCTCACCAGCCTTGTCTCACCTCATAATAACAACAGTCAGAGCTAAGAATTGCGTAGGTACTTATGGCTTTCTCATGTTGTGTAAATCTTCATACTTAATCCTGTGGTTAAAAAGCAGCTCTGAAGCCACACTGAGCTACCTTGCTACACCATGCTCTGTGTCACAACAGAAAAGGACAGGTGGCTGCCTATGGGAATAGGTGTCAGGAGTAGAGCATGAGTAGAGCACAGGCAGAGGCACTGGATTCACAGACAGTGCTACAGTGTCTCACTACCTGAGCGAGGTGAACACAGTAGGTCTGCCAGCGGTGACCAGAGTCTGCCAAGAGTCCAGATTCCCCAGACATGGCCATAGAGATGAGGTGGATCCAAGATCGAGGCAGAAAGCTGGTCTGTGTCTGCGTCAAGTTCCAGATCAGCACGGTTACATGTCCAGACACTGCAGCTGCCACGTAGGTCAGATGGGAGCTATAGTTAAGGGCGCAGCATAAAAACAGCTTCCAGGGAAAGGGAGATGTTCCAAGGTCCTTGCTGAGGCTTCCTGCGGCTCTTTCTTCACAACAGTTCTTCCCAATGAACTGGCCATCAGCCGTACAGAAAATTTGTGTGAGAGAGGATGTACTCTGTGGGCCCTGACACACTGCCGTGGATTTCCAAACCTGTGCTGTTGAACATATCCAGTAGAAGCAGGAAGAAGCCGATGCTGCTTCCATACAGTCTGGGAGATTCGGGTGTCCTTGGAGTAGAAGGTGATGGCGGGCTGGTTGCTGCAGTGCAGCTCGGGCTGGGCTTCATGTAGGGAATGTTGCGCAGTTTTCTAACCCTTGAGAAAACAGAGTTTGAGGACTGCTTCATCCCCCCTCCTGTTTCCTGTGCTGTGGGCCACTGAGGTGCCTGTTCTCATTGTTTTTGTTGTACTGGTACATAAGGAAGATCAGGATTGCGTAAAATAAGCTGTCATGAGTAAACTCTTGCTTAGAGGAGATGAGGGTTTGCAGGCAGGGTCTTTGTGGACAGCAAGGAGTGGAACCTTATGGATCACACAGTCATACATACAGCCTATGCATGAAGCTTTCTTCTCTGGGGGTGCTGCTGGAGTGAAGCCATGCTGCCAACTATACAAGAGTCATATTTTTTCCCTTCTCATTGCCACGCTTCCATCCTGTTTGGCTCAGGATGCTAGTACTATCTTGCATCATTCCCTTTTCTTTTCAGCATCTATCTGGAAGTATCACAGAATTGCCACCTTCTGGCACTACCCCATTTCAGAGCAAGAAGTCCTCTTCTGATTCCTCTTCATCCAAGAGGTTTTATTAGCATCTTTCACACTCTTTCTTGCAAGACACTTGTTTTATGGAAGTATTTGCAAGGTCCAGTAAAGCATAGCTTTTGTGGAGAGGAAGAGGGACCTTGGCCTTCACTGTGAAGTGTGGTTTCAAAATACTCAGTTTCTAATTATGTGATAAAAAGGGCAAAGAATATGAGTGCTGATAGGCAGGTAAGTTACTCCAGTCCTGTGCACAGTCCTGTTGTGAGGCTGTTTGTCAAAATGATTAGTGTTGATTCTGAGTATAACAAAGTACAGCCATCTTCTTCAGAGCTTCTTTGGAGAAGTCACAGGGCTAGACACTGACGAAGCTGTGGTTCCTAGAAGTTCTCAAAGCCGCAGTCCTAGGGTATCTCATTGCTCCTGTCTGCTTTCTTCTCTCTAACTTCAAAAGTTCTTTACTTGTTTAAGCCTACCTAGCAAATTCTAGAACGCTGCCCTTCCTGTAAAAGCAGCAATAAAGTATGTGTCAGGGAAAGAACAGACCACCCCCTGCCCTGAGCCACTTGCTGCAGAGACAGGAACAGAAAAGTACCGGCTGAGCGTTCTGCCTGACAAAACAAGGCATTGTGCTCTGAATTCTCGTATCATGTAGAACCCTCGTTACCCTGTCGTGTCCCTCATAAGCAGCTGCGTCAGAAGCAGCAGTCGAGGTTAGCGGGTGGCCTGGACGGCCTAAGGGCCTGGCTGTGTGCTCTCTGCAGCTCTGCCTGCAGGGCTGTGCTGCCCGCAGCCAGCACACAGAGCCCTCTCCTCCCTGTTGCCTCAGCGGTGCTGTGGCGGGTATTTTTGATAACAGCGGTGCTGTGGCGGGTATTTTTGATAACAAAGCCTCCCAAATCTTTTGCTTTCCCCTCAGGGCAACTCAGCAAGGCAGACAAAGAGCTCATCGCCGTGGCTACCAGTGCTGCGAACAGGTGTCCCCACTGCGTGACGGCACACGGAGCGCTTCAGCAGCGGCCCCGACAACATGAGCCCGCCCGGCCCCCGCCCCCCGCCTCGTCACCGGGGGCCGCGCCTCACGCGAGGAGGGGGCGCGGCGCAGGCGCGGTGCGGGCCGGGGGGCGGCGGGCGCGGGATGAGCGCGGAGCCGGAGCCGCCCCGCAGCGCCGCGGCCCCCTCCGGGCCCGGGCCCCCCCCGCCACCGCCGCTGGGCGCCATGGAGCCGCCGCCGGCTGCCGGCCCCGGCCCCGGCCCCGGGCTGTTCGGGTGGCTGCGCGGGCGCTGCCTGGGCCGCAGCGCCGCCGTGGACCCGGCGCGGGACAGCTTCCGCGCCATGACGGCGCTGTACGGCTCCATCCAGCCCGCCGACTCCGTGTACCTCAGCACCCGCACGCACGGCGCCGTCTTCAACCTCGAGTACTCGCCCGACGGGTAGGGGCCGCGCCCGGGGCCTGCGGGGCGGGGGGGGGCAGAGCCCGGGGAGCTGCGGCAGGAAAAGGGGCAAAGGCCGCGGGGTCCGGCTGCGGGGAGCCCGTGCCACAAGGTGCCTGCCCGGAGGGGTCCGCGGGATCCCGCCTGGCGGGGGGCTTCACGCTGCGTGCTCCTGGCACGGAGAGGGACTGGGATCACCTCACACAGCGACCTCGGTGGCGTCCTGGGTGTGCAGGCTCACCTGAAACCCGCCCCACCTGCGATAGCCAGTCACCTCCTCTGTGCTCAGCCAGTTTTAGGTGGAGCCGCGTGCCAGCTCCCTTGGCTCGTGGCAGTTTGGCCATGATTGCGCTGTAGTGCCACAATTTGCCTCCTTACCCACCCCTCTGTTATTCAGAGAAGGTAAAGCTGAGCTCCCACGATTATCAAAACTAGTCCTGAAAGACTGCTGTGATGGAAGCCAGCGTCTTTTGAAGATCCTCGGCAGGTTGTGCACCGACTTCCCGCAACGCGAGGTTCTACCATCGCCTCTCTGCAGGGTAAAGCAGTTAGCTGAGAAAGTTCTGGCTTAGCCATGGTGATGCGATACGAAAAATACCCACACAGAGGTTTCCTATAGCAGTGTCAGAAGTTTCAGCTGCGGTAGTTGTACAACTGCACTACGATTTAAGGTTATTTGTGCAGGACTCTGGCACAAGGTGCAATTCTGCATTCTTCTTGCCCCCTGTATCTGGTGCTTGAGAGGCTGCCCTGTAGCTAAAGCAGAGATCTTCCTTGTCCAAAGCCAAATCCAGCAAAAAGGATGTGCTTACGCAGGGACATCTTCCCTGTCCCCGTGTGCCACAAGTGGTGTTGGGCATAAACTGGCGCTGAACCTCAGTTACCTTAATATCAGGTGAAGCAGCCTAAGCCTTGTTTACGCTTGCTTAATTGTCAGACTGTTTGTTGCAGGCCTGCTCTGACCTGTGCTGACCAGAACACCTCTGTGCCCTGGTGACTTCTGATTCCTTTTTAGCCTCCCTCAGCAGAGCCAACTGTGGTGAGCTGTGCTGTGCTCCCGTTGCTTGCACATGCTGTTGGATTCTGGCTCCTCAAAATACTACTCCAGGAGGCGGGCAAGGATCTGACCCTGTCGACTGGCCGTGCAGTTTCAGCTAGGTCTGGCCTCCCCATGGGGTGCTGCTGTTCAGGCTCTTGCTTTGCTGGCCAAGGACTGCTGGGGTACTCTGCCCCCTTCCTGTAACTGGTCGGAGTTGTTGCTGAGCTGGGGGAACATCACAGCTTTCGTGGAGGTCGCCTTCACTAATTTAGCTCATTAATTTTCGGGACAAACTTCACTGTTGCTGTATTGTTACTGTATTTAAAATCAGACTTTCCATGTATATGACAGAAATAAATATCGATAACTTAGAACAGGCTAATGGAAAACGAGACAACCTGCCAAAATTGAAATCAGGTGATGTTTTCAATGCCTATATGGGGCCTCTGAACTTAGTGCAAATTTTTCTGATCTCATTCATAAATAATGCGTAATGTGGAAAAGGTCTTTGATTTTCATCTCCGTGACAAGCTGTGGGTGGATAAATGGAGGTCTTATATGCAGAGGAAAAGGATTTTTTTTTTTGTTTTAGACTGAGTAAAGTAAGTCCCTCATATTGCAGTTCATAACAGTTGTCCTGTTCCCAGAAAATGAATTAGTTGATACAACAAGATAGTAAATCTTGCTCCAGACTTTTGCATGTCCTTATTTTAGTAACAGCAGCCTGATTCAATGGCTGTTTTTTTAAGATTAATTTGACAACATGGATAACAGCCTCCCTGCTCTCCCAGCCGACTCTCTGCTAAAACCAAAGTTAGACTGGTGCCAGTGCCTTGCTTTTGATGTCCTTGACTATCACTTCTGTTGATAGTAACAGTGCTACCGCATTCAGAAAACACCTTTTGTCAGAGAACTTACTTTTCTTGTGGTTAGTAATGTGATGTCTGAGAGCAGTCACTTACAACACTGTTGTAGGTTCTGTGCAATGTGAAGAGAAAGCCAAGCTAAATAATTACAAAGCTGTGTTTCTATGGATGAAGGGATTGAAGATTGCACAAGTGTTGAGTGTGCACAAGTGTTGTGTTCTTTTACCAAATGCAAATGTTTCCGTTTTGCTCTGCTTCTCTTCAGGTCTGTGTTGACTGTTGCTTGTGAACAGACTGAAGTGCTGCTTTTTGACCCAATATCTTCAAAGCACATCAAAACTCTCTCTGAAGCTCATGAAGATTGTGTAAATAATATCAGGTTGGTCAGAATAAAGATTTATTTTTTTTCTTAACATGGGTACTCTTCTGATAAGAGTGTAGTAAGTATGTGGTCTGCTTTATTTTGGGGAAGGTGTATTTTGTGTAGCCATTAGGCTGCAGTTTGCTTTGTGCCATTTGCCTTTTCTTTTGCGTTTGAGGCTGGGAAGGGGCAGAGGAGGAATCTGAAAGCACTGATGGTGGTATTTAATGCTGCCAAGCGTTCTTGTTGATGGAGGAGCTGCAATTCTTGGCATTAGTGTTTGTTTTAACTGGGATTAATTATTTGATTTTATTTTATAATCATAAAATGATCTAGGTTGGAGAAGGCCTGCAAGATCATCAAGCCCAACCATCTGCCTGGCCTACTGAGTCCCATCACTAAACCATGTCCCTTAGTGCCACATCCACACATCTCCTAAATAACCTTGAGGGACGGGGGCTCTACTTCCCTGGGCAGTCCATTCCAATGTTACAAATATTATTACTGAGGCAACCTGTGCCAGGTGCTTTCAGAGGTATGTAGGAAAAGGGAAGTATTTACTGATCCTCTTTCATTAGTCTCCCGCTTGCTACAGATTTGGGTATAATCACCTGAGACAGACATGTTTTGCACCTGGATTTGGTCAGTTTTTGAGCTCATTTAAGCTTCAGTAACTGCACCTCATGTGGCAGAGTTCCACAGCAAAATTGTTTTTCCAGGTATATTTAAGAAGGTTTTTAAAACTTGTGAGCTTAATGTGATATTCTCTATTTTTTTTTTTTTAAACAAGAGAGACAACAAACCATTAATTTCTGTTTACTTTCTCCCTGGCACTCAGTTTTATACACCTGAATAATATGTACCTTCAATTAGGACTTCCTCAAGTGCAAGAATCCTAGTTTACATTTTCATTACTTAAATGAAAGCTGTTCTGTGCTGTTTGTATCTCCCTGTGTTTTTTCCATTTCTTCTGGAACCTGTTTGGTAGACTAGAGCAGCGTTGCCTACAGCATTCAAGATCAAGGCAAAAGGTGGATTTATGCAGTGAGGAGAAGTAGTGTGTTCCAAACTCTTCCTGCAAATCTGATTCATTCTATTTTTTTCCCTTGATTGTTACTTAGCAGTGACTGTATATGATGCTGTCGTGGTTTAACACCAACAGGTAGCCAAGCACCACACAGCCGTTCTCTCACTCCCTCTCCACAACAGGGGGGAGAAAATATGATGTCAAGCTCATGGGTTGAGGCAAGGAAGGGGAGGTTGCTCTTCAATTACCGTCATGGGCAAAATAATCATCGGAAAGATTAATTTATTGCCAATTATTACCAGACAAGCAGTGAGAACTAAAAGCATCCTAAAACCACCTTCCTGCCGTGCACCTGCTTCTACCTCCTCCCCGCAAGCAGCACAGGGGGAAAAAGGAATGGAGGCTGTGGTCAGTCCAGGATGTTTTGTTTCTGCCACTCCTTCTTCACTGACCTGGGTGGCTGCAGGATTCGTTCTCTCTTGGTTGCTCACTCCTCTTTCCCAGCTGCGGCAATGCAGTGTTTTTCTTGCCCTAAGAAGGGGGCAAAAAACACACTCTCCCAGAAACCCAACCAAAGTCGTTCATGGCCTAGCTCTGGCCAGTGGTGGGTCCCTTGTGAAGCCAGCTGGAGCTGGCTCTGAGCTGACGTGGGGCAGCTGCTGGGCTATGCTCACAGAGGGTGCCCCTGCAGCTCCCCCTCAACAAAACCTTGCAGCATAAACCCAGTGCAGCCTCAGGAATATTACGGCTTGTTGTGAGTTAGAGCTCATAATTGTAAAAATCAAGGCATGATCAACTTACCAGGAGAGCTATGTTTATGTACGTCAGACATTTACTTTTCACTTTATCACTTGTGCTCTCAGTATTGTAGAATTGTTCTCTGGCAGTCTGGCAGCGGTCTGCCTCTTTCTGAATAGCTAGGCACTGACACCATGCTGTTTGCCTGTTTTTTTTTTTCTTGTTTGTTTGTTTTTCTAATACTTGTGTTTTGAATGCAGGGGCTATTTCAGTGACATTCATGTAATGCAGCTGCTGCATGTTTGGCATCTGTAGTGATATCACTGTGGGAAGATATTTTAATGGACATAAACAACTGGCTGTAGCTTAGGGCATAAGGGCAATTAAAATCTCACTACTTCACCATACTACTTAAAGAAGGGCTTAGAAAATTTAAAGGACATAAACTTATTGTTTAGACATTCAGATTTGTCTCACTGTAGTTGGTTATGTGTGATTGGACTTGTTGCTGTTCTTACCGGGTGTAGTCAGGTTCTAACACTGAAAGATAAAATGCAGTTTCTAGGGGTAGCTTACCACATCTCTGTGTAGGTCATCGTTGCTTTAGCATCTTGACTGTAACTACAGCAGGTTAGGCTGATGTGATTTCTTGGAACTCCGTCTTCCCATAGCTACTCCTTTTTTTTTTTTTTTTTTTTTTTTAATCTGAAAAACTACAGCAGAATTGGAGTATGATAAACTTTGCTTTGGGTAATTCAAGCTGAATATTTTTTTCCAGTGTTTTTCTCAATGAGGAGAATAACTTGTCTAAATACATCTTAAAATGAAGCGTTGTCTTCACATGGTGTTTTTGAAAATAGTTCTGTTTTGTCTTCAGTAACCTGTAGATTCAATTTATTCTCTTTAATTCCTAGCCATCCATCCTCTTCTACCCTGATTCTAGCCCTTCCATCCTCTTCTTTCTGATAGAGCATTTTTATATCATATGTTATTCTTTATATAATGACTTGAAGGTGGTCAAGCAGACTTACACTGCCTTGGTTTGGAGTGATTACATATATTTAATTTTGTCAGAAGGCAAGATTATCAGGGTAAAGAATTACTATCTGATCATATTAAGACCTTAATCTGTTAAGTGTAGTAATACCACTAGTATGACCTATGTTCTTTTTCACTTTCCCTTCTTCTCTTTCCACTGCATTGTGACAAGCCTGCCATCTGTTAGGTGAGCAGGAACTCTAGACCTGTTAAGTGCATATCCACCACATATGTGGTGCATATCGAGCACCACGCATGTTATACAAATCCATTCAATTCAACTCTCTGTAGTAGTTCTACACTACTCTCTGATGCAGAAATAATCTGCAAATATCTTGTGACATACGTGGCATTACACATGCAGTTCTTGCACTAGTTTAACAGAATTTCACGTTATGTTGCAATTCAGTTTCTTCTGATGGAGATTTGTATTGAAGTACTGAATAAATTTGGGCAGCTTGTGCCATTTCTGCAGATGTTTCAAAGGATGATACGGAATTCTCATTGTAAACACTTTTTTTTGGATATGTATACCCATTGTTTTTTGCATTTGAGAAACACAGGTTCATATGTCTACCTCTAGATTCAGATAAACTGTATTGGGGAGAAAGGAAAGGCAGAATGTGGGAGCAAAAGCCCTTTGCTGGTTGGGACTGTTCCAGGTGCTACCTAAGCCTGGATGCAGAAGGTTTACATGGCTCTTCCTCCTGGCTTTGCAGCTGCAGTGAGCAGTTTTCCTAGGGTTTTGTGAAGCCAAATGGGCTCTACAGCAAAAGATGGACAAAGGATGATTGAAGTTTAGTTAAAATTATTGGGAAATAAGCAAGCAATGACTGCGTTCAGATTTTAATCTTATAAATATTTCCAAGACAGCACTGCTGTATGCGGTATAAACCATGTGGTTAGTAAAGCAAGCAGTACATTGGCCAGTTAATCAGCTTGATTAGGTCTCTAAGAGAAGCACTGCTATATATCCTGTGTGAAACAATGGGGCCAGTTTTTCAGTGTCTTCAGTGCAGGAGAGGAGTTCCTCAGCTGCCTGTACAAAGTTGTAGTCATACCACAGCATCAAAAATTTTGATTCGGAATCAAAGGCCTAAGCTGGAAAGGGTGTCTGGAGATTGTCTGATCCAACATTCTGATTCAAACAGGGCTACAGATTTGTTTACCAGCACCCTGGTAAGCTTAGCATTAAGTATTTCCAGCAATGGTGGTGTCACCAGTTCTTTGTGCAGGTGCCTGTAAGGTGATGAAGCAGGGCATTTTTGAAAGCAGGTTCCTGTTAATGAACTTCTATCACAAGCTTTACAACAAGTGTTCTGTTTATTATAGTGGGTTCAAGATCTAGAGTGGTATTTCAGTTGTGAATGACTGAATTAGATGCCAAGTAACAATGTATCATGCCTAGCAAAGACAAGCCTTCCACAGTGAGGAGTTCAGGACTTTAACTAAAGGAAGTGTGGGTACAAAGTGCTTTGGCAAAGTCAGTGGGATTTGCACTGTACAGAGCAGCAATGTTTAAAAGCAGTAGGGGAGTGCCAGTAGGAATAACAGAGAGTGGTATTTATTAAATATATATATATATTTTTTTTTATTATTTTTTTTTTCCAGTAGATAGAACTTACATCTGTGGTGAGATAAAAAAAGATTTAAAGAGTAGTAGGGAAAGAATAAGGGGGAACATGTGGGTAGAACTGAAGAGTCAAGAGGAGGATGGGTTTAATGTGTTACAAGCTGATAGGACTTCGTGTAGTCTGAAAAGGACATAGAACTTGTGTCTTCTAGTGATGGCTGATCTTAGTGGCAAAGGGACCTGGCAAATAACGGGGAAAATGAAAGGCATAAATTACAGATAGCCTAGGCTAGCTGGCTTCTGTTGCAGGGACAAGCAGTCAATTTGAACATCTTGCCAGTGGACTAGTGCTGGCTACTCCTGTGGCGTTTGGGCTTTCCAAAGACTTGCTAAGCTTCATTAAAGATGAATATTGTAAAGATATGTAACTGATGTAATTACTACAGGAGTTCTGTGTGTGCATTCATCCCACTGGTGGTTGTGCAATCTTTATATGATTAACTTGTAAAAAGAGGAAGAAAAGTAGCCTACTATGCTTGTGCAGGTTTATTGTTTTGTTATTAGAGGTGTTGAGGTATTAAACAATAGCGCAGTACTGTTTTTTAACAGAACTGCAAAGCTTACTGACAAATATATTGCTATATGCGATTTTTTTTTTCTGTGCAGCCACTCTGCTTTTTCTGTGTTAGCTTAAATCCCAGTTTATTTTATTTAGAAAAGGCAGTAAGCAGCCACAGTATTTTTCTTGAATTTTCAGATTTCTAGATAATCGACTGTTTGCAACTTGTTCTGATGACACTACAATAGCACTTTGGGATCTGAGAAAGCTGAACACAAAAGTGTGCACTTTGCATGGTCACACCAGTTGGGTTAAGAACATCGAGTATGATACCAATACCAGACTACTAGTAACGTCAGGGTTTGATGGAAATGTGATCATCTGGGATACAAACAGGTATGTGTCTGTGTTTGTGCTGTTAGATTTCTTACTCTTGCGTAGACTTCACATCAGCTTTATATTGTAATAGTCCAGTTGCTAAAAAGAGAAGAGAGCTGTTTGCTAATACTACAAAATGTAGCTTGTCCTTTATGAAAAGTTCTTCACCATCAGGATGTTTTGAAAATGTGAGTACTGATAGACCAAACAGTAATGAAATAAGTAGAATAAAGACAACATGCAGAAAGGTTAGAAAGGTTTAGGGTGGGCAAGGATGCTTAGCGTGTCCTGGACTCCTCTGGACATTATCAGGGACCCCAGTCAGAGTTCATTGTGGCAATTTCCTGGTTGTTTTTTTTTTTTTTTTTCCTCCACTGTCCAGGTGCACAGAAGATGGATGTCCTCACAAGAAGTTTTTTCACACCCGTTTTCTTATGAGAATGAGGTTGACACCAGACTGTTCCAAAATGCTGATCTCAACATCCTCTGGATATCTTCTGATTTTGCATGACCTTGATCTAAACAAATCTTTAGAGGTTGGCAGCTACCCAATTTTAAGAGCTAGGAGGACTACATCAAGTTCAGGTAAATGCTTGTGCAAAAATCTCTAACAGTTTCTATGATAGAGGTGTTCTATGTGATGCTCTTAGCAAAAGAAGGCAGGGGTAGAGTCACAAGGATTTTGCAGAGGAGCTCTTTGGCTCTTCGTGGGTCTCACATCTATACTTTGCATAACGTTGTGACTCAGGCAATGTGATTTTTGTTATCAAGACTTGAGCATCACAGGACATAGTCTGTGGAATGTTGTCACCTCAGGCTGTTATACTAGGGTTACTTACCTAGTATCCTTGATCCTGTAATAAAAGTAACTCACGTTGAGTAGGCTGACTGTGCACACTCCAGCAATTACGTGCTGGTGCAGTTGCTCTCAAAAACAGACTTGGTAGAATCATATTCTCTTAAATTTTACAGCTTCTTCCCACATTGGGGCACTAACAGCCAAACAGTGACAAACTCCTGTTTCGGATGTCTGTTAGTGGCCAGAGGAAAAGTAGTGAAGGAGTACAACATGCTCCTTATTTGTAATAGTTTGTTGTGCTGGCATTTTATCTGCACGAGGCACATCAAAACAGTACTTTTAGGCTGTAGGTGGATCTTTTGAAGTTGTTTTCTTATCAGGATCCTTTCCTCTTATGCTTTACTTAACATTGCTAGGGAGAATTAAGTGAACGACATAGTAAATGGGCTGTGTTTAGTTATGTTCATGTGGTGTTGCTGTTTGCAGAGATGACATCTTCAAGTTCGTCTGCTCCTCGAACTGTTGGTTCACCATGTCACCAGAATGATTCAGGTCTACTGTCTGAGAAACAGATGTCACGGTCCTCGCAGCGGGAAGGTAGGAAAATAAGTATCAGGAACTTAATTTCATTGTAGCCAAAAGAGACCAGAGAATAACAGGGAAATACTGTGTGGACTTTAAAAGCCTTGCAATGACTTCTGTTAAACCAATAAAATATCATTGCACATCAAAATCTGGAGTTCTAATGAAAATAGCAATGAGACTTTATTTCATATTAGTACATTATTTTTGTTACGCAGACATGCTGCCTTTACTCTGTTTTTTGTTTGTTTTGTTTTGTTTTCCCTCCAGCAAACCTCATTTGAATGATCTTAAGGGAAAAAATGAACAGAGCAGTACATAGCTGTGTTTTGCTTTTTGTTTTCCTTAATGTTGGGAACATGTGCCTGCTGTTTCTCTATGCAAATCATAAACACAGAACTAGGAAGACCGATGATCCCATGATTAGCAGGCTTCCTCTGAATCTAGGACACACTTTCAAATAGTCAGCATGAACTTGGCAAATTCATAAATACTTTTTAATTTGCTTGCTGATTTAAACTAGGGATAAAGTTTTTATTACTTCTGTTTGTGAGATGTTAAACACAGTTATGACAAAAGGAAGCTTATCTGGACCCTAGGGTATCATTTACCACTGAAAACCTCTTTCAGAGTGAGGAGGAGAAGGGAGTATACCTGCACACAGCTGAGCAGACTTATAAGAATTTGAGAAGGACACTAACATTTTAAAAATAGCAGTTCTTACTAAAACAAAAAAAGTATTCTATATTTTGTTTTAATTATGTGTTTGTGTGGAACATTAACCCTAACTTTAGACCACAGCATGGGATGATTTAACACAGGCTTTGGAGGATTAATTTCAAAATAAGAAGCTATTTGGAATCAGGACTGAGTTCATTGGTATTAACTTCAGTTGTTAGTAGAACCTCTCTTTGATCTAGCCTTTCATAAGTCACAATCTTTTCTAACAGACAGACGAGGGTGTCAATACACTTGACATAATTTCAGCAGTAGACTGAAGAGAGAAGTGAAAGTTAATGCATAGAATTCATTTAGACTTAAAGTTTACTTCTCCTTTTAGGTGGATCACCTAGAAATAGTCTGGAGGTCTTAACGCCAGAGGTTCCTGGAGAGAGAGACCGAGGCAACTGCATTACGTCATTACAGCTACATCCAAAAGGGTGGGCTACTCTTCTTCGGTGCTCAAGTAATACAGATGACCAAGAGGTAACACAAATGTTTCTTAGGAACTTTTGAGTAAGATGTATCAATCATACAACTATACTGAAAATCTGTTATTTGGGATAAGTTTACATTTGAATAAATTAGTGCATTTGTAAGCAGAAATCATTAATTTTAGCCCAGGGCTATGAAGTACTTCTCTTTCTTAAAGAGTTCTTTTACAAAGCTTTGTATCTTTTATTCAGTATTCCTCTTGCCTAACTCTTCCATGGAATACATTTTATAGGTACAGCTCAGTTAAAACTTTTCAAACAGTTCCTGGGCTGCCAAATACATGACTTAAAAAGATGTACTCACCCAAATATAGGAAGAAGGAACTTGTAAAAGACAGAGGATTACACAGTTGTGTAGTGGTGAGCATATCTTAAGTTAAGCAGAGAAACTCCTCTGAATTTCTCAAGTGCATATCTGTCAGTGTTGCAAGGATGAAGTGCTTCTGCTATGCCAATGGATGCTTTCCAGAGGCTGCTCCTGCACCACTATGAAAAAAATTGGGGGCGTATTTCTGCATCCGCTTAAAACTGCGACATCATGGGTTTGAACCTTATTAACTGCAGTGATGCTTATGCAACTTCAAAGAGATCTCATCTGAAAAATTCTGCAACTTAAAAATACGAGGGATATCAGTGATCTTCGTGGCAGAATCCATTTCAAGCCTTTATGTGAAATACTAAGTTACAAGACCTGCTACAGCTCAAATGCCATTTGCAGATTTCACTCCCCTAAATACTGCTTTAAATAAGTTACAGTGGACTTTGAGACCGGTTTTGTATTACGTTCCCTAGATTGTATTTGTGAATTGTCCCATAAAGGCATATGTTGCACTGGGACATAAAAGAAAAACAAGCAGTCTATTATGCAGCCAGAAATAATGAAAAAACCCTTCTTCATGGATTGTGTACAAAAAGCAAGAACCTGCAACTTTGTTTGGGAGTATCTGCTTCTGATGTAGCAACTTGCAGAGTTAACTCAAATTCAGTTATAACTCAAATTCCAGCCAGTCTCAGAACACCTTGATTACACCAGTCAACTTGTAACCATCTTTTCCTCCTAAGCTTACTTCAATATCATTGCTTTAACAGTTGTGCAGACCTATTTAATCTAGGACAGAGCTTTTATATTTATCTCAAAATTGCAGATCACAGAATTATGAAGGCTGGAAAAGACCTTCAAGTTCATCTGGCCCAACCATCCCCCTACCACCAATGTCACCCACTAAACCATATCCCTGAGCACCGAGTGCCAACCTTCCCTTAAACACTCCCAAGAATGGTGACTCCACCACCTCCCTGGGCAACCCATTCCAAATAATTACTCGAATACTTGATTTCGTTGAATATTTAAGTGTTTAACAAATAGTTTAGTTAATCTGGTAACTGATGGAAATTGATCTATTTATTTATTTATTTACTTTTGGAATAAAACCACTCTTTGTAATGGCAGCATACAAATATGTAGAGGACTGAGTGGAAACATAGCAGATTGGTTAGAAATTTCAGTGCTGATTCTGTAAGCTTATTAAACTAGTACCCAGTGCTGAATTTTTTGAAAAGGCAAATATCATATTGGGTTGGTTGATACTGATGACTGACCTAGTTATCATTTCCCAGAGTCCAAGTGTCTGCTTTACTGTTTTCTCTTAATATTCATTAGTATTGTTTCCTTTGTGTTTACTTTAACAGAATACATTGAACAGAACAAAACTAATTTCTTCTGTCTTGTGATTAAATCTGAGTCTTCCATGATTACATAAATTTAGTTTGTCATGGAGTGATCTTGCATTTGGTTTGAGATTAGATTATTAGATTACTCATTAAAGTCCCTGTCCATCTCACAGGTAACAAGCTGGTTATAGAGCTGTTCATTGCATTCCTTCCTCTACTTGTCTTGTTTCAAGGCCTTCTTCCTTTTGAAGTTAAGGGCACAAAATGTCAAAGGGCAACTGTATATTGGACAAGGCTGAGTTCTGCTTTATTGTAGATTTCACTTAAACACTCACTACATTAGAGCAGACTCTAGTCCAAAGAATTATGCTTTGCTTTTTTAAAAAGTAGATTTCAAAGGTTATATCTAGCAACTATTTAATTAAAAAAAAAAAGTTCTTATGCTAAATGTCTGGTGTACATAGGCCACTCAAAGACAAGATGCCAAGGAACCTGCCAGTTTTCAGTGTCTCATAGTAAACGCTTATCAAGGAGTAGATAAGCAACATGTTGGTCATTCCTTTGTTACTGACTTTACATACAGCAGAAGTGAATGCGTATTTGCAGTGCTTTATTCTCAGTGTTCCTTTCTCTGACTCTCCCTTTAGTGGACTTGTGTCTATGAATTCCAGGAAGGAGCCCCTGTGCGCCCTGTCTCACCTCGTTGCTCCCTGCGATTGACTCACTGCATTGAAGAAGCCAATGTGGGCCGGGGTTACATCAAAGAGCTTTGTTTCAGTCCTGATGGCCGGATGATTTCATCCCCGCATGGCTTTGGGATCCGCTTGTTGGGGTTTGATGCATACTGCAGCGAACTTGTTGACTGCTTGCCCAAAGAAGCTGGTCCCTTGAAAGAAATCCGTTCCCTCTATTCTCACAATGATGTGGTACTGACAACAAAGTTCTCTCCAACTCACTGTCAGATTGCCTCGGGGTGCCTTAGTGGACGTGTTTCTTTGTATCAGCCAAAGTTCTAGGCGCATTGTGCATCAACAGGACCTTCAGATGTTTGTGGTTTCAATTACTTCAGTTCAGTTGAAGTGTGTTCGAAATCCCATAAATCCAGAGAAGATCATAGTTACTATGGTCTCAGAACATAATAATGACATGAGTTCTCAGTCCAGCACTGTATACATTCTCATACCATATCTGCAAGTCAAGCTCCATGCTTTGTCTTTTTAGCCTTCTAGGCAGAACCCTGCTCCTGCTGATCCTGTGCCATTGAGTCATCGTTCTGGTTGGTTTGTACAATAATACTTGCAAGTAATTTTCAGCAACATGACTTGAAGTGGGCTATCTGAAAAAAATGTCGATGGTGTGTGGGTAGGAGTTCAGCTAAAACTCACCCAGGCTTCCCTGTTACAATACCTCTTTGTTTCAAAGGACTTTTTCTGTTGCCAAAACCGCTATACCGTGATTGATAATGAACAGGTTTTGTGCATGCTAGTTTAGCTGGCACAAAAAGACAAAAATGTTTTCATTTATTTACTCATTTGGTTATTTGTGATTGGCTAGGAAAAAAAAAGGTTTTTTTTTTCGTAATGTTTTGTTGTCTTTAAGAGTCTTTCTAGGCTGTTTTTCCTTAATTGCATATCTTGTGATTATTGCTAGAAGGAAGAGGTTCTGTATGGAGATGTAGCTGCATTTTTTCCTCAAAATTTAGTTGGAAAAGGCTGGGGCAGCGAAACAAGAGCTTAACAGATCTAAACATCTTATGCTGTATCCACTGCAAATGAATCAAGAAAATGTTTCTTACAACGTGTATGTTTAGTGGATGTCTCTTACTCCTCGGTCAGTAGGGTTTCTTTTGTGGGAAGCTTTCCACATCAGTTACAGAAACCTTCATCCTGTGTTTGGAAATGTACACCGCAGAATTTCTGCTCATTTTAAGGCTGTATTTCGTATTTCCTTTAATCATTCTACAAATTAATGTGAGGAGAGAAATTCAACTACGAAGTTTCTGTAGTGTAACTAGATAAATATTTCTTCATATGTATTGTCAGTAAAGGAATGGATTAGAAACATTCCAGTCTAAAGTAAGATCTATTTGGATTTAACAGGGCTAATCATAAAATCTGAAAAATGTTAATGTTCACTGTTAAATCACATATGGAGTTACAAATGCCAAGTTTTATCCCTCAAGTTCATCACAAAATCCCAGACTGGTAGAAGTTGGCAGGGACCTTTGGAGGTGATCTGATCTGAGCCTTCCTGCTTGAGCAGGGCCATCTGACAGCAGGTTGTCCAGGGCCATATCCCAGATGGCTTCTGAATATCTCCAAAGGAGAACTCTAAAACCTCTCTGGGCAACCTGTTCCAGTACTCAGTCACCCACACACTAAAGTGTTTCAGAGGTTTTGAGGGACCCTCTTATGTTGCCATCTGTGCCCATTGCTTCTTTTCCCAGCACTGGGCACTACCCAAAACAGCCTGGCTCTGTACTCTTCACACTGTCCCTTTAGGTACTGATGACATACTTCCTGAGCCTTGCTTTCTGTAGGTGGTCCCAACTCTCTTAGTTCCTTGTAGGACAGATGCTCCAGGCCTTGAATCATTTTTGTGGCCCTTTGCTGGACTCTCTCCAGCAGCTCCATGCATCCCACAGAACTAGACACAGTGCACTAGGTGTGGCCTCTCAAGTGCTGGAGAGAGGGGAAAAGGATCACCTTCCTTGACCTGCTTGGCAATACATTGCCTAAGATAGCCAAGAGTACAGGTGGCCTTCTTTACAGCAAAGGCTCATTGCTGGCTCGTTGAACTTGGTGTCCACCAGGCCCCCTAAGCATTTTCTGCCAGGTTGCTTTCCAGCTGGGTGGCCCCAGCATGTCCTGGTGCCTGTGGTTGTTTGTGCCAAAGGGCAGGACTTGGCACTTGCCCTTATTGAACTCTGGGAGGCTCCTAACCCAGCCTGTAAAGGTCCCTCTGAATGGCAGCACAACCCTCTGGCCCATCAGCCACTCCTCCTAGTTTTGTCATCTGCAAACTTGCTGAGGGTACACTCTGCTCCATCATCCAGATCATTAATGACGACATTAACACAGGACCGGACCCAGTATTGACCCCTGGCATTCAGCACTAGTCACTGGCCTCCAACTTGACTTTGTGCTGCCCTCTGGGCCTGACCATTCAGTTGGTTTTGTAACCACCTTGTTGCCTATCTCACCCATACATCAGCAGCTTTGCTATGATCTTACGGAGGGCAGTGCCAAGGGGCTTACTGAAATCCAGGTAGGCAATGCCCTCTGCTCTTCCCTCACCCATCATGCTGATTATTTCACTGTAATATAGCTAACCCTATGCAGTCTTTTCAGTTTCTTATGTGCATATGAGTTTATCACATAAGTGTTCTAAGATATTTTGTGAATATTTAACTAAGATTTTGCTGAGAAATCATACAATGATTTCAGTAGCAAACTTTACCCTAAAAGGGCCGTCGTTTTGTTATTCAGATTCACTTTCTACTGAGCATGCTTTCAAAGATTGTCTCTTAAAAAGGCTTTTTGCAAAAATTCAGCTTTAGGAGATACCTGTGAAGACAGCTGGGAATGTATACTCCTGATGATTCTCTTCGGGTTTTGAATTCCTGAAGGTAGCATACTCAGGGTGGTAGTGGTGAAGTCATTGAAATTTAAGGCTCCTGTGCATTATGGGCCTGTTAGAACAGGTCCAGAGGAAGGCTATGAGGATGGTCGAGGCCTGGAGCACCTCTCCTATGAAGACAGGCTGAGGGAGTTGGGGTTGTTCAGCCTGGAGAAGAGAAAGCTCCCGGGGGACCTTGTAACAGCTTTCCTAAGGGGGCCTACAGCAAGGCTGGGGAGGGACTCTTTCTCAGGGAGTATAGCAATAGGACAAGGAATAATGGCTTTAAACTCAAAGAAGGTAGATTTAGATTAAGATATAAGGACGAACTTCTCTACTCTGAGGGTGGTGAGGCCCAGGCTGCCCAGAGGAGCTGTGGCTGCCCCATCCCTGGCAGTGCCCAAGGCCAGGCTGGATGGGGCTGGGGGCAGCCTGGGCTGGGGGGAGGCGTCCCTGCGCATGGCACGGGGTGGCACTGGGGGGGCTTTAAGGTCCCTTCGAACCCAAACCATTCTGGGATTCTCTGATTCTAAAATTTTGGTGAATTTATTTAGTAATAAAAAGCCTTCAGTAATGGATATTTGATAGTTTGAGGACTGGTCAATTACTACTGCCCTGGGTTTTCAGTAACTCTAGCAACTGGGTGCTAAAAGGAGTACCTTCAAGTCATCAAGTGTATGAAACTGACAAAATTCCTATTATTTAGTAAGTGTCCTAAATTTTCAGTTCTCATGGTTTTCCAACTGAATCATTTGGCATTAGTGTCTAAGTAGAATATCATCCCAGCTGGAGGAGGGAGAATACGCACAATTAACTTTATATGCAGGTACATGTCCACAGACTTCTCAGATGATAATAAGTTGTGCTTTGGAAAAAATTCAGATATATAACTTCAGAGAATGGGGATATGCCTTATTTTCCAAAACAGCACTCATACTTTTAAACACTCGTACTTTTTGAATGCTTCTGGAACACAATTCGTAAGAAGCATTCTGTCCATATATGCTGTAGAAATCTTACCTAACTCTTCTGATTACAGTTGTGGTAAGTTAGAACTAGAAGAAGTAGATAAAATTAGATTGTGAGTATTTGACTACTCCTTTTCAGCAGTACTTAGAAGTTTTCAGTTAAAGATAATATATTTTATCTGTAAATTTCATAAAACACGGAGACACTATTCAATTACTCATAACTGTTATGCCTTGCAGTTACAGTTTGGTGGAAGGAGTGATTTAGTTTTTTTGTCTTTCTAAACCTTTATCTTGCCTTATTGAATTACCGAAGTAATTCAGTGAGCTTTGGATCTTTCTAGGTAGCCAAAAAAAAGTTTGTTATGTTTCAAAAGACAAAATCTTAACCTTGCATCCTTAAATGTCTTAGGGACAAAGCTGTATAAAACTTAAATGGTATATTAAAGACTGCACTAACAGTAGTGGCTTAAACCAGTGTCTTTAAACTTTTTGACTGTTGAAGTGTTAAATCACTTGATGCATTTCATACTTTTTCTAATGAAGATGGAGCTCTTTGATTGTAAAGCATGCAATATGTTTTTATATTCATTGATTTCCATAGTAAAGTAATTGCTTCTTTCACAACATAGGTCAGCAGAAGCAGATAAACTGCCTAATTAAGATCTCCATGGGAATGTCAACATTTAGCAGTGTTCACAGGAACCAAACTCTTATTTGAAGCTAGCACTCCTTTTGTAATAGTCCAGTGACTGTATGTCGTGGGAGTAAATGCATTTTCCAAGTATTTCATTGGAGGTCAGCCTTTACATCACTGTAGCACTGTTACGCATTTGTGGGGAGAGGGAGAGATGCTATTAATGGGACTGTAAATTGACATTCATGTATGTGCAATTTTTTGATGAAGTACATGTGTGTATTTCAGTATATATACAGCCACTGGGCATCATTCAGACATGGTTAGTTCAGGGAAAAATATAACCTCCCACAGAATTATTGGGGATAGGGGGAAAAGCACACTTGATACCCACATACGCATTTGTTTGCACTCTTTGACACTCAGTAAAGACAGCTTGCCCGCTACCAGAATAAGAATGTAAAGATCTTTTTTTTTGTGGGTTTTGTTGTTTTTAATTTGGGTAACACTGATGTATAATATATAATAGGTCCTGATACCGTAAGTAGTGGGTCTGTTGTTCTATGATGTACAAACCCTTAGCAAGAAGAAATAAACTTGCCCTATGGAGGCTTTTTTTTTTTTAATAAAATTAAAAAAAAATCGAGTTCACAAGATTTAAGTAGGAATAAAAGAAGGTTGACAACCATAATATTTTTGTCCTGCAGGAAAAAAAAACAAACTTTAATTTCGTGATCTTAGTTGATGGTGCATTTTCTTACGCACTAAGTATCTTCATTTAAGTGTAAGGTTTTTAATACTAGAACAAATTGTGCATGTAAATATTTTGAAATACCTGAGATTTCATAGTATGAAGTGTAGCCTTTTAATACAATACAAAAAGTATCAGAACTGCTCTGAATATATTGTACTTAGAGCTGTACAGTAACTTACTACTTGTGGACAGTTTCTCTTGCTTGCATAATAAATTAAACATTTAATAATTCAGTGAATTAAAATCTATTTTAATGTATTTATCCTACACTGAGCTTTGTTCTGTAACACTCACTGCTTCTTGCATATTAACTTGAACCAAGAGAGAAAAAAGTGTGCTTTAGAGTGAAATCTGCATACACACATCACCCTCTACTAGTTTCTTTGCTCGAGCACATTTGTGGGAAGAAACAGCTCACTCCTGATAGCTAGAAAGCAGGATAGACATTGAAGCAACACTGATGATCACAAACCTAAGTGTTGCTGAGCTATCCGTTGCCTGAGCCATTACCTCTTGGGTAGAATGCCTTCTCTTCATACCCTTTAAGGCAGCACCCCAAGAGCACTGCAGTGGTGAAAGGCTACTGCATGCCCCTGCTGGACAGGATGAAATTGAAACCTGGTTCCCCCACCTTGGTGAGGGACAGGTGTGCCTGGGCAGGCCTGCAAGCTCCTGTGAAGCATGACACTTAGCAGTCATGTGAAAGCTGGCATTTCTGCAAAGTCACTTACCATTAAGCACAATGAAAACAGCACCTGCCAGAAAAAAAACCTGCTATTTCTGCCTCGGCATCACTTGTGGCACAGACTGCCACTTTGCTGTAACACATGCAAGAGGCACAGTGCTTTTGCTCAATATGATCTTGACTTACGACTAAGAACTGGCCAAATCTAAGACACATGCAATTGCTGAGACCTAATTTGCCTAAATAGGTGTACAAGGTATTCAGAAGAGAAACATGCCTCAGGGACAAAGGAGTTCCTATAATGTTGTTCTGTGCTCAAGCTGTTTATCACCAGAAGTCTCGCTATTAACTCTGTCACACAGCAGTATTCCTGTTATTTATCATCAGTAGCATTCCCTTTCCCTCCTTCAGCTAGAAATGATCATTGTAGTGCCCCTAAGAACAATACTGGTGAAGCTCGTAACCCTGGGCTACACACAACACAACACACGGAAATGCTGCTAGCTCATGACTACTCTGGAGATGTGTGTGTCAGCTCTACTCTTAAATTCTGACATGGAACTCAGCCTGGTTATAATCAGTTTGTTAATATTTGAAAACAAACCTGAAACTAGCTTGAACCAATGTGTTCTCAGTTCAGCTGAACCATCATAGCTCTTTCTGTGCCCTTTTTCAACACTGGCAACACATCCTATTCCATCTCACTCTAACTGGTACGTAGACTTACTGTGCCAGACTCGCTGGACCCCTCTCTTCACTCCTGATGAGTGTCTCTCCTCTTATACATGAAAGATCTGTAATTTGTTAAACATAGAATTGCTTTGTGTTGTAAAACTGATAGTACTTATAAAACAAAGCAAAGATTACACTTGAACATAGTTCTACTATGATGCACTTTCACCATGTTCATTGAACCATGCCACATAAGTAGAGACAGCAACAGATGTGCAATTGTTTTTTGCTGCAGTAGTGAACACCACCAATTAGTGGCAGACTGACATTAAACTCTTCAGTTCAACTCTTCAAATTCTGCAACATTAGAGAAGCATGCAATATCTTCCACAGGACAAACAGGATACATTTTTTTTTATTCCATCAAGGAGTGATTACAAAAAACAATACACTGGTAAAAATCAGATTCTGCCACTAACAAACATTCAATAAACATTTTATTTCAATGCAGATAACCACAACATTCAGATATAGCAATGTGCCAGGCTCTTTTTGACTGTGAAGCTACGGAGTATATTATGATAACAATCATAACACACTGATTAAAACCAGTATTTTAAGACAGTCTAGCAAACAAGAAAAGCAGTAACTACTACAAAGTTTATGAAAAGAACAACTTGGGAAAGTTTCTGAAAGCTTTCCTGCCCTCCCTCTTCCAGAAATTGACGGTGGCTTTAAATATAGTTTAATGAAAAAAAGTGCCCAGGAGACTCAAACGCTTTTCATTAGGACCGTCCCCTGCTTTATGATAACCATGCTTATCCCTCTCCTGTCCTTTTCCCTAAGTACTGTAGTCTTACACATCTCAACTTCTAAGCCTGTAAGACACACAATACTGCACACTTCTGTAAGTCTTTAACAGCACGTGCCTACAGAAGTCTTCTGACACTTCTCCAAGTGCTGCATCTTTCCTACTTAGCTGCTTCTCACACAAACTTTGTCTGTCTTCTGGTTATCTTCTTGTACTATAATCACAGACTTCACCAATGTGGGTTATGACCCAGAAATTTTATCTTCTCAGTGCTGCAGTACAATTCTGTCTTACAGAACTGTTAAGTGTACGTATCAAGGAGACGAACTCCAATTTTCAGGTAAAAAAAAAAAAAAACTTTTTGTGATCAATTAACTCATAGCCCAAGTGAAAAATAAAAGTAATTTGCAAAAGACAAGATACCTTAAGTACAGAAAAGCTGTTCCTGACCTACTTCTACAACAATGGGAAGCTTATCTATTTCACAAGCATTACAAAAAGAGCCGTCTTCTTTCTGGCCCCACAGCTGTAAAACAACAGAAAAAGAATGAAAAAAAAAAAAAAAAAAAAGCACAGAACAAGCTCCACATTTACAAGTAGAAGAATTTTAACAAGGAAGGACACTTTAAAGCTTCAGTATAGTTTCTGTTTCATTCCTTCCACTTTTCCCTTTCCACATGAAGGCGTGCACACATGCACACACACACACACACACACAAATCCCACTTTGAACTTGAGTCAGCTTACACTGGAGTCAACATTCAGTAACTACTTTTACGCTGCTGAATGAAATGTTCTGTTAAAGCCAAGCATCACAACAGCTGGCAGAAAAGTTTGTGTAGGCTTAGTTTAAGCATAAAATTCAAAAACTTAGTTATCCCCATCTGCATTTGTTCATTTAGCTTTGAACAATAATGAGTACTTCGGACCCTAAAACATTTGAAAACATAGTTCTTAAATGAAGATTTTGAAGTTTATCAAGCAAGAGAGTTAGTTTTCATCAGACCCTTCTTGATTTTCATGTTCTACAACGTGCACAGTGGAGCGCATTCAGACACGGAGTGTTGAAAACTGTTGGGAGTTGATATGGAATAACCCGTTGGATACACAGTTTGGTTTTGGTTTTGGTTTGCTTTTCTACATATATCTTGCATTTGTCTAGTAGTTTCATTATGGGTAAATTCACCTGATGGCAAATAAATACTTTAAAAAGCTAGTCATAATTGCACCAAGGTTTAGATGCATCACCATTTACTCCATATATAGTGAAGGCCGAGACGAATTACCTTTTACGCTATGCAGGAACTGTTCCCAGGGATTAAGTGACATCAAACATGCCAACACCCAAAAGAACAGCAGGACTGAAGGAAGATTAAGTGGTTTTCATAACAGCTTTAGCAAGAATTCATAAGTTGCATTGATTATGCCCCAGGACAGGACAGAGCGATGGTAATTCAGATGAGCTCCTCTAAAAAGGTTGATCAATTTTCTATCACGTTCCAGCCAGATCTTCACAAAAACTGTTGAGAAGGACTGAAATTCACCACCAATTTGTGCTTGCATACGAGCTTTTACAACATTCACTGGAAAAAACAAGAATCCCAGCATGGCACCCAACAGCCCTCCACAAATGAAGTCATTGACCAAATGAGTGCTGTAAGAAGTTGCTTCAGGCAGGCATTGTTTAATAGGTCCTCTCAGACCGAAAAAGAGTACATTACTCGGTCCATTTCGGAGCAGAATAGGCACCAATCCCCGATAATATTCTCTCATCCCATACACTTTCAGTACCTTGAAAGCCTGGTACGTGTTTGTAAATTTATCGTGGTGTTTGTAGTCCTGAAGCAAAGTCTGAACACGCTCGAAAGGTGTAAGAACAGCTTCTGTAGTCCCTGCAAGCACGGCTGCCATACTGCGCGTGAGGAGCTCAGGAGCGGTTGTGTGGCTGTGGAGCAAGGATGAGAAATCTTCATACAAGCCAAACATTAGAGCCAGTGTTGTTGTTTTCTGCATTAATGGAGGAAGGATGCCGCGGTAGAGATTTCTCATTCCATCCTTCTGCAGCTGATGTACTGCATCCTTTGTTTTCAAACCATACAACTGCTGTCGAAAGAGGACCTTTTGGATGGGAAAAGTAACTGCTATATTTGTGAAGGCTGCACAGTAGCCACATAGGTAATGTTTACCAGAGGTATCTGCACTGTCACTGCTGAGCTCTTCCTTGGAATCTGCTGGGGCAAAACCTTCTGAATCCATCATACTGTTTTTCTTACTGTTGTATATCTCAGTCCTCTTTTCCTGCATCAAAAAGAGAAGAAAAAACATGAGCAAAGCTGCAGGTGACCCAGCTTCTTTTCACGCTAGTGGTTTACTCAAACAACACTCAGTGACACTCAAGCTCAGTAACACTCAAACAGCCAGAAAAAAAAGCCCTTAAAATTTGAAGGAGAAAAGCAGTAAATGCAGATCTGTCAGATGCTGCGCTATTTTCTACACAAGTCTCATAGGCCTCAATAAACGCAGTTTTTTCTCCCTGTAAATTTTCTAAGTAAAACAGAAACAAATTGGGAGGCAAACTGAGATATGAACCCTTCATGCACTCAGCATGTGCAACAAACAAGAGAAGCTGGAACCTGCACTGCAGTGAGAAAACTATGACATAGGTGCCATCACTGAAACACGGAGGGATGGCTCACACCCCACAGTGTGGAGTGACGCAGTGTATGGCTAGAAAATATTCAGAAAGGATAGGCTGAGAAGGAGAGGAGGGGGGGTAGCCCTGTACATTATAGGGCTTTTGATTGCCTAGAGCTCAAAAGGAGTGACAACAGGGTTGAGTGATTGTGGGTATGAATCAGGAAGAAAGCCAGCGAAGCAGATGTCATGGTGGGATTCTGTTATTGACCACTCACCCAGGATGAAGAGGCAGACAAAACATTCTACAAGCAACTGAGAGAAGTCTCACAATCGCTAGCCCTTGTTCTCAAGGGTGACTTCAACTTCCCAGATCCCTGCTGGAAATACAACACAGCAGAGAGGAAACAGCCTAGGAGGTTTCTGGAGCACGTGGAAGATATATGGTGACACAACTGGGGAGCCAGCCACCTAGGGAAGGCATCTTTTGTTTGTCACCAGAATAGGACTTTTGGGGGATGTGAAGGCTGGAGTCCATCTTGGGCACAGCGATCACAAATTAAAAGTGATTCAAAGCGGTGTCACATCATCCCCATGCAATGGTACAGGTGGGGGAAGAGTGGCTCCAGAGCTGCCTGGCAGAAATGGACCTGGGCTATCGGTTGATAGACATCTAACAAAGAGCCAGCAGTGTGCTCAGGTGGCCAAGAGGGTCAACAGCATCCTGGCTTGTATTGGAAATGGCATGGCCAGCAGGGCTAGGGAAGTGTTTGTCGCCCTGTACTCAGCTCTGATGAGGCTGTACCTTGAATGCTGCATTCAGTTTGGGGCCCCTCCCCACAGGAGGGGCATTGTGGTGCTGAAGGGTATCCAGAGAAGGGCAACGAGACTGGTGAAGGCTCTAGAGAACAAGACTTGTGAGGAGCAGTTGAGGGAGCTGCAGTTGTTTAGCTTGGAGAAAAGGAGGTTTGGGGGAGATGTTGTACTTTATAATTACCTTAAAGGAGGTTGTAATGAGGTGGGGATCAGGCTCCTCTCACCAAGCACCAAGCAGTAAGATGAGGGGAAATGACCTCAAGTTCTGCCAGCGGAGGTTTCGGTTAGATATTAGGAGGAATTTCTTTACCAAAGGGGTGATGCAGCATTGGAACAGGCTGCCCAGGGAAGGTTTTGAGTCACCATCCCGTGTGATCTTCAAGGGATGTGCCGATGTAGGACTTACTAGTGTGGGTCCGTGGAAGACTTGTCAGCACTAGGTTAAGGACCGGGCTGGATGACCCTAGAGGTCTTTTCCAATGTGAATGATTCTATACAGTAAAGCAGCCACACCTGCACCTAACCCAGCCTCTGTCACTCCTAGGCTGGAAGGGGAGGAACGGGACATGCAGATTCCCTCCTGCAGGGTAGAAAAGCGTCACTGAGAGCAGCACCATGATACCAGTGCCACTCAACAGTCCTTTCACAACGAGCTGGTTACAGTGACGGCCAGTGCGCGTGCCCAAGACGTTAATTTTTCCCCTGAAAACAAAGCACTAAAAGAGCTGTCAGAGGTACGGATCAGTAGGTTGGCGGTACGTGCAGAGGCACGGCCGTTACAGCACCCCGTTAGCGCACAGGCGGTGCCCCTCACCCCGCAGGGCGCCCACGCTCCCCGTGCAGGCCTCGGGCCTGCCGCTGCCTGCCCCCCGCAGCGCCCTGTGGCACATCCCCGGCCCCCTGGGGGTGCCTCAGCACAGCCCCCTCCCTGCTGCCGCCAGGCCTTCGGAGGGGCGCCCACACCCCGCGCCCCGGACACAACCGCTCCCGGCGGCGGGGCCGGCGCGGGCCCTGCCCAAGGTCAGGCCGGGGGGGGACGGCGCGGCCCGGCCCGGCCCTGCCCTGCCCGGCGCGGCCCTGCCCGGCCCTGCCCGCCCCGCCGCCCACCTGCGCGCGTGCCCGCCGCCATGCCGGGCCCTGGGGGGCGCGGCCCCGCTCCCGGCCCCGCGGCCTCCGCCGTCCGCGCGCGCCGCCGCCGCCGCCGCCACCGCCGTGTGACGCGGGGCGCGCGCCGCCTGACGCAGAGCCGCGACGCGGGGGCGCGGCCCGGAGGCGGGGCCGGGGGGGGGCGGGGATCCCAGACCCAGGGGTGCTGCTCTGAGGCACTGCCAGAGCTGGCCCTGCAGGCACAGCGGTGGTTCCAAACTGTGCAAAGGCTCTGGCCTGCTTGGTCAGGCACCCATCTCGTTGTACTTCTCTGCTTACCATAGCATTCAGCAGTCAGTTTTCGGTCCAAGAATCCATGGTGTTGTCACAATGCGCCGTGTCTGCCCCCCTTCTCATGCCTCGTATCAACCATCTGAAACTTAGCAGTGATGAGCCAGAACTAGGTAAAGAGCATAAACTGATTATCTCCCAATAGTGCTTCATACCCGGCCCAAGCAAGAGCTGCTGCCTCTGATATGCGCAAGACCAGACGCTAATGAGAAATTTAAAAAAAAAAAAAAGGAAAAAAAAAAGACTTGTTTCAGCTGGGTTAGTGTAAGTGGCAGAAATGCTATGTCTGTTCAGTATTTGTGTGGAGGAATGGTTAAGTGAAGGAGGTCATGTGAATGTTGAGCAACTTGGAAGTCGCGAGCTAAAAAACTATCAAACACAGCTCATGAGTCTGGCAGCTGGCAGGAAGCCAATCAAGGGACAAAGGCATTGTGTCAGTGTGTGGATGGGAAAGTGCCTAAGGCGGGATGACGGTTGAGGGAATGAGGAGCTAGCTGATAAGATAGGGAAAGTTGCACTAACCAATAGTGAGCTTAGCTTTTGCAATATGTATGAGCTAATTATATGGAATCATATAAAGGACGGCTGAGCTATCCAATAAATCAAAGTTCACTGATCACTCATATTGAGCGTCTGTGTCTTCCTTCCATCGACAACATATTTGTCTGTTCACACTTTGTGAAGACAGAATTACGCTGAAACTTCTGGAGAAACACTTGGAGCTGAAACTGTGCATATATAAAACTTAGCTTTTTCTCCCCCTCTTTCTGTGCCCTCTACACTGCATTTGTGTCAAAAACGTAAAACTGGCCATGAGCTGACCATTATGTTGCCAGAAGTAATCAGTCAGTGAAGCACTTGCAGATTCAACCAGTATCCTCTTGCTGTGGCACATCCTACATCCTTTTCTCTCATAAAGACAGGAAGAAAGACAAAGGGTTTATTAGAGCTTTTTTTTTTTAATAGAAAAGATCAGCAATTTAACGAACACTGGTTCCAGCCCAACACTGTGACGTCAGTGTAGTAATGCTGGACAAACAAACACAACAGAGAAAAGCATTCCCGTGACTCTGTATGTGCAGGGTGACTGTTCTGAGGGGAACTTTTTCACACCTGCTCAGACCACTCAGATGTTTTAGTTCATCTTCTTGCGCTTCCTTTGGCTCCCTGATGTCTTTTGCACAGGCAAGGGGAGAGACAGTGTGCCAAGCTTGTGGTTCTGATCATTCTCAAGTCCTGGCAGCCCTTTTGCCTTGGAGATCTTCAACCGCATGGCCTTTGCAATGTCCATCATCCTGGAAAACACCAGAGAAACACTATGTCAGTGGGGCAGACAGATCTTCTGGGACAGACACCATACAAAATACGAGCAGCCATCCACCTGATGGAGGGAAGCCACAAGCAGGATGTCTGCTCTGTGTCTCAGTGCCACTGTGGGGACAGAATCACAGAATGTTAGGAGTTGCAAGGGACCTTGAAAGATCATCTAACTAGAAGCTGGAAGTATTTCAAGATTATGAGGCAGAGCCTTGTTGGGGAGGCTGAAATGCTACCAAATTGCACAACAACCTCAGAGAGCATAAGCATGAGAGAGCATCCAATGGCCAGCTGACTCGGTAAAAATAATGCAGCTTTCCATTTTTCTGTGAAGAGATGTTACAGCTGCTGCTGCAGGCAGCCCATATTAGATTCCCAATGGACTCATCTTTCATATGTAGTACAATGGAGGGAATCTAATACAGTGAGACCATCTCCCTTCATTTGCTGAAATTCAGCACGCCTACATGTGAAGGAAGGGTCTTGCCTGAGATCTGTAGTGTGATGGGTTTGGGCAAGAAGTCACAAGCCAGAACATACCTGGAGGTCTGTCAACAAACAAAGTTTGTCTGAGAGGAATCTAGCAAGGAAGTAAGTTATCTGGCCTTTGCTGGTGCCCTGAGAACACACAAGCCCCAGCACCCTCCCAGATGACTTTATGGCTTTGAAATACATACAGATTCAGATGGGAAGAGATGTCAGGTGTTCTTCAACCAAACCTCCCACTCCAAGCAAGAATCATCCTGTGGCTAGGTGAAGTGTCACAGGGACATGTGCCTCATCTCTGTTTTTCCAACAAGTGATTGCCTCCCCCACCTTTTTGTCACTAGCATCCTATAACCTGTGCTCCCAGCTCCACTACAGTGTTTAAGATCAAAAACTTGGAAAACCTGAAATTAAAAAAACAACAACAACCGACTAACTTGTTTTAAAACAGATTACAAAAAAATAAAAATGGTAACCAGCACCAGCCAGCCCAGTTAAAATAGGTATTAGTTATCTAAGAGCAAAGAGCAGAATTGCAGAAAAAATCAGAAGTTGCTGCATCAGGTCTGACTATACAGTTTACAAAACCCAGATGGGGCTAAGGGCTCTGGTAACTTTCAGTTTTCCTAGGATCTTGAGATTATGTCCCTCAACAAGAAGGCCCAGGATACTCTACAATGTCTTTCTCTGTTGTAGCGAAGGGCTTTTGACCATTTGCAGCTCCTCTACAGCAGCATTGCCTCTAAAGAATCCTGATAGAAAAGACCAGTACGGTTGAGCTAGGCAGTAAATGTGCTTAAGAGTCACCATGACTCACAGAACAGGATGGGGTGGGACAGAGATGCATGCATGGCTGAACAGCTACTAACAGGGCCACCTGACCCATTCCCATACAGTATTAACAAGCTGCTTGTTAAGCCAATGCCTGCTTGTTGGGCAATTTCCCAGCAAGCTCAGCAGACTGGCTGATTAGTTCTGATCAATTCCTGATTTATTCTGCAGGGACCAGAGAGATACTACAGTGCAAACTGTAATGAAAGAATTCTCGGAGACTGAGGAGCCGGAGGAGGCTCTGGCTGACACCTGCTGGCATAAGCATGCCTTGCAGCTAACAGCATATACACCACTTGGCAGGGGAATAATTACGTTTCTACAGAAAATTAAAGTCTAGGGAGCAACTTTCCAAAAAAATCTAACACAGCAAGCATTGCTTGCCCCGTTGCTTATTCTGCAAGCTTGTTTCTACCCACTCATAATCTCTACCCTTGGCTTGGCACTGGGAGGAGTGGCAGATACAGAAGAGGGACGTGCTGCAATCTAGACTGACTTTGACAAGCTGGAGAGGTGGGCTGACCAGAATCTCATGAAGTTCAACAAGGAAAGTGCAAAGTCCTGCACCTGGGGGGGAACAATCCCAGGCATCAGGACATGCCAGGGATCACCCAGCTGGAAAGCAGCTTTGCAGCGTTTGGAGGCCTAGGAATCCTGGTGGATACCGTGCTGAGCATTAGTTAGGAACGTGCTGTCACTGCAAAAGGCTAACAGTATTCTGAGCTGCATTAGGCAAAGAGTTGCTAGCATGTCAAGAGATGTTGTCCTTACCCTCTACTCAGTGCAGGTGAGGCTGCACCTGGAGTACCACGTCCAGTTCTGTCCCCTCTCCCCAAGGGAGACACGGACATACAAATGTGGTCCAACAAAGGGCCACAAAGACAATGAAGCGACCAGAGCACTTCTACAAGGAAAGGCTGACAGAGCTGGAATGGTTCAGCCTGGGGAAGAGGAAGCTCAGGGGGACCTCATCAATGTCTGTAAACAGCTGAAGGGTGGTTGCAAAGAAAATGGAGCCAGGCTCTTCACAGTAGTGCTCAGTGCCAGGACAAGAGGAAATGGATGCAAACTGGAGTACAAGAAGTTCCCCTTCAACTGCAGGAAGCACTTCTTCACTGTGTGGGTGACAGCACTGAAATATGTTGCTCAGAGAGGCTACGGAGTCTCTCCGGTTGGAAAGACCTTCAAAAGCTGTCTGGACGTGGTCCTAGACAACTGCCTCTAGGTAGCCCTGTTTGAGCAGGAAAATAGGGCCAGATGACCTCCAAAGGTCGCTGCCAACCTCATTCAGTCTGTCATTCTGTGGCAAATCCATATTTCAAATACTATGGCCAACCTCTCCCCAATTCTCCCAGGAGCATGGGATTACTCCATGTTACCATCAACTTACTATCTGACTGTGAGACAAAAACCTGTTTCAAGTTTTCCTGTTGCAGTCTGCTACAAAGCTGAGCTTGCACTCAGACGGGTACCTAGCAGGGACCAGAACTCTGCAGAAAGAAGGCGTATCAGGGACAGGAAAGTGAAGAGTGATGAGACTTGTCAGGGAAGAAATGGGGCTGGGAAGCATTTGGGTAGCTTTTCTGCTGGAATCTGCCCCAGTTGGCTGTTTGGGTGCTGCCCTCCTCAGTTTCCCTGCCTGCAATGTAGATGAATATCCTCTTAATGCACCTGAGGATGCATTGCAATAAGCACCATCACAAAGCTTGAGATGTGTAACCACCCTCCTTTACAAGCAGTAGGGCTTGAAAAGAAAGCTCCAACACACTCAGAGTCCAATTATAACAAGAGGTTCTCACAGCAGGTAACACTGTGTAATACTTTGGTGCGAGAGCTCCAGAGCTCTCTTCGCTGGGGGACTGTTTGTATGAGGACCGTGGGCATCTCAGCAGGTATGAACAAACATGATGACTCACTTGCTTTCATGGAGCTTCATGTCATTCTGCAGGATGGTGAGGTCTATTTGGAATTTGTTAATGTGCAGAGCCAACGCGATGACGTATGCTGCGATTTTAGTCTTCATTGATGCAGAGATTAAATTCTGGACACTGAAGGGCAAGAGGGAGAACACATGAAATACGGAGTGTTAGTGAACCCAAAACACAACCCCCATGAGGTACAGAGAGAACTGGAGCCTCTGTTAGAGATGGCAGACTTTTCCTAGACATGAAAAAAGAGCTTTAAGCAAGAAATATCCCTGTTCATGAGGACCTCAGACTTCTTTGTCCTTCTCACTAGCTGCTTATGTTTCTGTTCAAAAGCAAAGGCCTCTGGAGTTGTTTATTGCTTTATGGCCTTGACAAAATCACCCACTAATGACACTTCTGTCTCTCTGGCACTCTGATTCCTTGAAAGAG